CATTACAGAGAAAACTTGCTCACAAAGATAAGTTTATTTTAACTCTACATTGTAAAGTATGAAAATAAAGTTTACACAACCATCTCGCGGGCCGGATTTAACCCACTTGCGGGCTGGATCCGGCCCGCGGGCCGCATATTTGACACCCCTGATCTAGACCAATCTGACTGTGGAGAGTTTGAGGGGAAAAAAGACTTGAGGAATTATGCTTTATGTTTTCCATTTAGCTCACCAGAAAGCTGATCCTGGCATTTTCATTCCCACTGAAGGGTTGTGGTGTGTGCAGAGCAGAACTATTTCACCAAGTTTAATCAGAAGAAAAATATCATCTTTTATATGTAAAACAAAAAAATAAATAAATAAATAAATCTATGTTTGGCTCAAAGCTTAAAATGTTATTTTGTCCGTGTCTGGTTGTAATTAAAAAGCATCAAAAAACACTGACTATAAAGTTTTAAGCATCAAGCAGCAGCTTTGATGCTCCACCTGAGAGTAAACCTGTAAGGCTGGTCACCAGCATTCAGGCATCAATTCTTTTTGTTTCACAGCCAGACAGGACACAGGGGGAAAAAAAATAAATAAATAAAATGTATTTTTTTTTACTTTTTTGTGCATCAAACAGCACTAAAACACTCTTCATGTCACCTGTCTGTGTCCTTAAGCCCAGTCTGTTGCCGTAAGACTGGGTCTTCCTCTCATCTCGGTTATCTGGATTTTACTTCGGAGACTCTGCAGATTGAAGGCAGCTGTGGCTGTTGGCTGAGTTCAAGCAGTGGGAGGTAGCTGTCGGCCAGCAGGGAGGAGCTCCAACATCTGGAAAAGAAGGAAAACTGGCCGAGACACAGACACAAGAAACCTGCTCTTGCAGCAGTGTTCACAGGCTGCAATCCAAACAAGAAGAAAAAGAAAAATTTCTGGTTAATATGTGCTGAAAAGCAGCTTCAGTAGCATTCGTTTGACTCAGAATGTTCATCTGAGGGGAAGCACAGAGGACAGGGACACTGACTCAAAGAGGGGACAGCTTTAGTTACGTTTGAGCCCTCTGGGCCTCTCCTGATGTAACGGTGTGTCTAAACATGTGTGAGACGCCTGCAAGAGGAGAAAAGTGGGAGAGCTGGATGGCTGAACGGGTGAAAAAGGCTTTAAATTAAAGCTCAGATTGACTCAGTTAAATAGAACTGCTTGGTTTACCGTCTGACTGATGACTGTATCTGTTAGTTTTACACAACCTCCAGTTTTTCACAGAAAAATACTTTCATGCTTTTAATAATGGAGGCATCAGATTTGGGAAAAAATAAGTTTTAAAAGCATAAAATGTGTGTATCTTGTATAGTGTGACATGAATATGACTAAAATAGTTTTATTTCAACGTGAAATACTGAACTGACCTGCAGAAGACTTTAACTGTATTTAATTGAAAAGCTTCACTGATGTTTACTGCTAATGCTGACATACTGAGCATGAGACTCTCTGTCCTGCATATGATGATTTATATTTTCATGCACAGAAAAAATAAATCTCATTTATTTCAAACAGTCAGCATTTGATGGATGAGGAAATACAACATTCAGTTTTGTATCTGTAGCAGTTTGTAGCTGAATAGCATCACTTTTTACACCAGTGATTTAAATTAAGATGATCACATGTTGAGAAATGTACTTGTATTTGTTTTAGTAAAACCTTGACAAACTTGGCTATATGTGTTTAAGATGACTATGAGATATTACCTCGCCTAGTCGTAGCACAATGTCAGTGACACTCACTTTGTGTTTTCTATGGTTAATTAGCATGTGGTTGCTATCTTGTAGAAGTTTATCAAGTAGTTTCATTAAAGGGGACATATGCTAAAGTCACCTTTTGCATCCTTTGGTGCTGCAATGTGAGTCTCTACTGCCTCCACAAACACAACGAGAAAAAAAATATCTGTCCATCCGTTTTCTGTTAGTGTTTGGTTTTAGCAATCACACACTTCTATGAGCTGTTTGAAAGTATCCATGGTAGATAAAGATTCCCTGAACCTTGAGGGTTGACTCCAACAGCCAATGGAAAAGTTTTACAGCCATACTATGCAACTTGTTCATATTTTTACATCATTTTCTTGAGCCAGCATGTGCTAAAATGACCCTTTACAGCAGGGATGCCCAATCCTGGTCCTGGAGGACCAGTATCCAGCAGGTCTTGTGGTTTCTCTGCTCCAACACACTTGAATCAGTGGTTGAATCACCTGCGCTGCAGCTCCTCAGTTTCTGCAGAAGCCTGTTAATTGCCTGCTGATTAAAATCAGGTGTGTTAAAGCAAGGTTAAAACCAAAACCTGCTGGATACTGGCCCTCCAGGTCCAGGACTGGGCACCCCCTGCTTTACAGGGTTAACGAAATGTCACTCAGACCCCTACAACTCTTTGTGCCAGAATACTTTCAACTTCAGAGTGGCGGGCCAACTTTTGGACATAGACTAAATAGAGCCGACATACCTGGCACTGCAGTCTGCTTCCAGCATGAGAGGAGAGTTGAGTAGAAGGAACTTTCTTGAAGGACTTTAGAATTGATACGATGGGACTGGATCGGGAGCTCAAGTTCACAGAAAAGACGAATGAGCAACTAGAGGTGAGTTGGGGAGTCAGGGACACCATTTGGAGCCAGGTGTCCAGCTAATAACGGCTGTGGCTGCCAAAAGCTGGCCATGATGATGACTTGACAAATTCAACGTGTCTTTTGATTTCATTGTTTATTATTCAAACTAACAAGCAGTGGTGTAGCTATTTTCTTCTTCTTCTTCTTCTTCTTAGTTGAAGTGGCAGACTGCATGCTTCCAGGGCGCACTGCCACCCTCTGCTGTTTCTTTCAGGATCGCTGTAAGACATTGACACCAGTCAGTGACTCGATGCAATTTAGAAAACTTTTTGCTGATTGGCTTCATGAACTGAACTGCATTGGAATGTTTACTTTGTGAAGTGCCTTGAGATGACTCTTGTTGTGATTTGGCGCTATATAAATAAACTTGAATTGAATTTAATTGAATTTCAGGTTACAGTCACAGTGCAAACGCGAAATACAGCGCTCATATGTCCCTAAATAGCTGCTGTATTTTAAGACCATGGAGCGTCAACCACAGTTTATGTATTAAAAATGTCAAATTTCAACTATTTAGAATTGAAGATGGAGAAAAAGGACTAATTTAGGAACTGGATACACAGTATTTGATAATAAACAGGTAAAAATAGTTGAACAACTAAAATGGGAAATGTGTTAGTGTGTTAGATTTTTATTGTGGGAATTGGACTGTTGGTGAATTTAAACCCAAAACAAGAGACTCTCCCAGTTTCACCCAGTGGGAATCACTCACTGGGATAAATGTGAAGAACCTGGGGTACAGAATTAGCGGACAAACCAGCCAACTCCTGGACTTTAGTCACCTCGATAAAGGTCACTTAATGTCAGAGTTTAGACAGGTCCCTGATTCAGTCAGGGAACAGCATCAGAAAGTAAGAGCTACTTTCATGTTTAGTTCTACTAAAGTGATGCCCTCTGTTATGCCTCTGTAATTACATGTTATGGTCTGCTTAACTTCCAGCCATGTAAAGTCAGCATAATTATCTCCTTCCTCCAAAAATGCTTCTTATTCCTTTAACTTTTCTTAGTTTTACTTTAGACAGTATAAAAGAAAGATGCTATATTGAGCGTGCTCTGCAGACATGTTTACCAGGTCTGTGCAGCAGAGGGATGGGAGGTAGAGGAGCTGGAGAGGTACCAGAATCCCACCGTTCAGCTGGACAGAGGGCTCATTCTTCTCCTCGGATCCCCCCAGTCGTCCCCTACAGACCACAATTTGTCAGCCAATCTCCCCACCGTTTACTGAGGAAATGTTCACTTACAGCAGGAAGTCTGAGGTTTCACTCCATTCGTTTGATTTGAACAGTTACCCAAACACTGCCGGGGTTAGAAGTTGGGTCAGAACAACATAGGTGGGAACTAAACTCAGAGGAGCTGTGAAACCTCAGTTTACCTGCTTAAGGCATTCATGAAGTCAGGATTTTTTTTGGTCTAGAAATTTTGTCTTTTTTTTCACCCTGAATTTTTATTTTGCACATGCAAATCTACAGATGTAAAGAAAGATGATGGTACTCTTTAGGGATGCTCAAGGGTGACGTTCACAAATGAATCGACTCTCTTGAATGAGTTTCCAGACTGAACTATGAGAGCCGAGCCCTTGTAGAGAACCGTTCATCTTGTCCTCCAGTTACACCCCCTACCCCCCATGCGGTCTCACGGACATCAGCAGAATGCCACATCCCCCTCCGCACACTGTCACGGACATCGGAGGGACACATTGCTTCTTCGAAAAGCCATAAGAGTACTCAATAAGCTGCCACTGAGCTGGTCACACTGGACGGTCACAGACTTGCAAATAACCCTCACATTCGCCGTTTTATTCACAATTCTGTCTACGACGAGAGATTTGTCTAGGACGGCTGGCAAACGCACAACATGGTTCAGGCTTTCAACAACATCCTGGAGCATTTCAAGGTAATAAAAGAGGCGTGAAGACCCAACGTGTTTCTCCAGTAGAATATGATCAAAATAAAACTATTTAGCAGATATTTTTTCTAGGACTGAGAAGTCATTAACAGAATAGTGTCTGTCTTTTAATATAGACAGTGCTCTTATACACGTTTTGAGGGCACAATCGGGGCTGTCCATCTGTCCAGCCTGATCTTTTTGCTGCCATCATCTTGGCTTTAAGATATCCTTTGCAAACAATTAAAAACATTTTTGGCAGCACAGCAAGTGGAGCATCGTGGAGTTGTTCTTCTATCCTCCACTCTGTATTAATGGCACCTATTTGATCTTATTTGATTAAAAGACATGTTTCCACACCTTCAAACTGTCAGACTCCGCCTACACAGGAGATCTATTTAGATGAATAGCCAAATAAGCAGGTGCAGTGTGTACAAAGCTGGTGAAGACCTTCAGGAAACATTTGACGTCTGACATTGCCAACCAAGGTTGCATTACAAAGTAATGTTGTTTTCTTTATTGACTTCATTTCTGCATAATGCTATAAATAAATTCTTTAAAAAACATAGTTCAGAATGTCTGAACTGTCAGGTGTATTTATATCTGTCCATTTTAAACCCAAAACCGAACAAAAACAGTCCAAAATCTATGATAGCTCTAGCACCAGGGCTTGAGAAAGATTATACTGTTAGCTTGCTGAGATAACAAAGTTAACACCCAAAATTCAGAAAATCAAACGAGTTTGGTATCAGCTAGGACCAGATGAAAAAAATAGGATGAAAACCAATTTTATGAGTAAATACTGAGTTTGCAATGTGCTTCCAGCTGATTATAATAATAATAATAATGTTCCATATTAAACACACAGAACAAAGAATGTACAACATTTACTCCTTCAAAGGGCTGAGTACCAGTATCGGCACCAAGTATGTGCAGAAGGGTTTTCCCCTCCACTGTCGCTGCATGCTTGCTCAGTATGAGGACTGCTGTCAGTCACTAGTCAGTGACTCGATACAGCCTGCTGGGTTCCTTAAATAAGAGACTTTTTACTGATTGGCTTAATGAACTGAACTGTGATGGACTGTTTACTGTGTGAAGTGCCTTGAGACAGTTAGTCGTGATTTGGCGCTATATAAATAAACTTGAATTGAACTGAATTCATTTTTTGTCCTGCGGGGTGAGAAGCTCTTTCACTGCAACTTATTCTTGGTCAGCTGAGCCAGCTCTCTGGCTTTCCTTCTCTTCAGCTTCTTTTTGAGGAGGAGCAAGTCGATATAGACAATGTGATCTAACACCGTAGAGGCGCAGAGGAGTCCACCATGAAGTGCTCCTGCTATCCCACAGCTAAACACGTCTTGGCCTGAAATAGACCACACAGAAAAATAAGACTGGCTTACTGCTTTTTGTGTGGGATTTTAAGACACAGAAGCGTTCAAAATCCTTTAATCATATTGCAGAAAAGACTCGTTCAGATTATTTCATACCTGAGATGTAGAGGTTTTTAACAGGGGTGGAGCAGCGGTTTCTGGCTACAGATTCAGCATAGAAACGTTCCAGGTTGTGTTCAGAGGAGTACATGGCTCCACGCTGAGCTCCCAGGTAGTGCATGTTGGTCAGTGGGGTTGCCACGTCCTGGAAAACAAGCTGAAGAACACCACAGACAGATAATGTTTAAATCAAAGCTTTATTCTTTTAGCTTAGTTTGCAGCAATTACTACAAGATGTTAATAGATCCCACCTTGTCCTTGATTTTAGGGAACACAGTGCAGGCCCAATCAAAGAGGTTCTTAGCAAATCTCATCTTGTAGTTCAGGTAGTCGTCCCCCCTTTTGCGCACCGTTGTGTCCTTCCACTCCTCAAACCATTCATACTTGACCATGGTCAGGATCGTCATACAGGACTTCCCTAAAAGTATCACACGCAGAATACGTCACTTGTGTTATGTGTTAAGCCCGTCCTTCTTTTATATTTAAAAACAAATTCTCTTTTCCCGTATTTGCAGGAGTATAAACCGTTGGTGCTGTGAGTACCTGGATGTCGCAATTTAGCTTCAGGGTCTTTGGCAGAGGGCACTGTGATGAACATCATGGGGATGTTGTCAGGTGCTTCTTCTTTGCTCAAAGCAAAGAAATCATCCATCCTAATAAAAAAACAAGCAGCAAGGATGATTGAAGCAGAAGAAGAAGCCAAACTTTTCAGTTGCAGCCACTGGTTTACACAAAGTTTGCTGTCTCAGGGATTCTAGATATTTTTCTCATATGTTTCTTTGGTTACAGATGTATAATTATAATGTTTTTACACATTACCCTTTTATTGATAACTAAATGAAGTTTGTGAAAAATTCCATATTAGTTTTTCTGTTGATCAAATTCTTCTCCAAATCCTTTCTGACGCTAGTCCAGCCTTGAATAGGTGAGGTTGTGTTTTTATTCACTTTCATTTGATCTTTATTGTCTCTTATTTATTATTTTCTATGCCTGTTTTAAGCTTCGATTCAAATGTAAAGCCCTTTTGTTATTTTTGATGCTTTAAAGAGGCCCTTTACTGAGAAATATTATTTGTTTATTTATTAGTTTTGAAAATGATCGGTCACTGAGTTTAACATTCAGGCCAACGTGAAAATAGTCTCCTACACCTATGTGTCCTTCTGATAAAAAAATAGATGGAGGAACTTTAGGATTAGAAAAGCCTGACAGATCTACGTCACGCTGTCACTTAACATTCATGGACTCACCCACCTTGGCTCATGATGGGGAAGGCTGTTGTTGGTTTAGCTTGCACAAAACAAAAGAGAACATCTTGACCAGCGAAAGCTAACTGTTAACATAGCAACTCCACCACAGAGTAGAACTCCTCCAGGCTTATGTTATGGGTGGAAATAAAACATCAGTGTTGCAAAGCAAAATGAGTCAATGGTAGGCTTCAAAACCCTGTTGTCCACAAATTCTCAATAGCAGAAAGGTTCCTGAAGATAGACCAAAGTTTTAATGTTTTGCTCCTCAAAACGCTTGGTTATCGGTTTATCCGTATGTCACAGTCAGTGCTCTGTGGTGCTTTATATTGGGAAACAGGATCGTTGAGAGAAGTTCCTCTTGTAGGACATTTAGGTACCATGCTTTATTAATGGCTGTCCACCATGGATCCACTCCTTTGGCTGAGAAGCAACCCCACACGTGAATTTTCTCAGGTTTGTTTGCAGGATAAAGCAGTGATGGGAGAAAACACCTTTTCTTTTCCAGATGCACCGAATGAACAAGGAATTTATCAGAGAAAATAACTTCCCCCAGTCCTAAGCAGTTCTCCAGAAGTCTTCTCCTGACTGTGCTGCAGATGCACTCACACACCTGTCTGCTGTCATTCCTGACTAAGCCCTGCATTGAAGATGCGCTGATCCCACACTCAAACCAACTTTTTTTTAATGAGAATGATTGTATACACACAAATGAATTATATCCATCCATCCATTCATATATTTTCTTTACCAGTTTATCTTTGCAGGGTCGCGGGGGGCTGGTGCCTATCTCCAGCTGTCTCCGTGCATGGACCTGAACAGGTCACCAGTCCATTTCAGGGCAACACAGAGACACACAGGACAAACAACCAAGCACATACTCACTCACTCACATCTAAGGACAATTTAGAGAGACCAGTGAACCTAACAGTCATGTGTCTGGACTGTGGGAGGAAGCCAGAGCACTCGGAGAGAACCCATGCATGCACAGGGAGAACGTGCAAACTTCTCGCTGCAAAGCAACAGCGCTAACCACTGCACCACTGTGCAGCCTCAAATTATTTCTAATTCTTCTGATCTTTCTTAAGATCATTATGCCATCTTGAAAAATTAGTAAGCACATTTTGTGACTTTTTGTGTGTCAGACTCAAACATCTGGCCACAACTGCTCATGTTTCTTTAAAAATGAGACATTTGAAGTATGAAATTTCAATGCAGCTTCAGGTTTTATTGATGTGGTTGTTTCCTTTCTTATACACTAGCGCCCCCTTGTGGATTTAAAATCCTATTCTTGTGTTCAGTTTGATTTTTGAGTTGCACACTTACGATTTATCCATGTCATTGTCCTTGAACAACCAGAAATTGGTGGAGACGAGCCCCAGGTCCTCCTGGGTTCCATCGAAACCAGAAAAGACCAGGAGCGACCCTCTGCCGTGTCTCATCATGTTGAGCCTCTCCTGGACCTCTGCAGAGCAAATCAGTTCACTAAAACCCTGATGTCTCTTCGGATTTGCTTAAGAAGGAGGTAGTTACCCACCATGTTTGACTTGGATCTCAGGTGGGAGGAGCTTCTGGATGGTGGTGAAGATACCACAGTTAGAAACAACCACAGGTGCCAGAACATCCACTTCCTCCTGACCCTTCTTCACCTTCACACCTGGAACAGACAGACACACACTTGTCATGAAACCTTAACTTGTTTGTTTCTGTTAACAAGCAAGTTTAACTTCTCACCGCATGCTGCGCCTTTCTCGTTGACCAGGATCTGACAGACTGGAGCTCTGACCAGGCAATTTCCTCCGTACTTCTGAATAGTGCGGATGATGTGAAAAGCAATCTCACTGGCACCTCCTTTGGGGTAGTAGGCTCCTCGTTTGTAGTGATGAATCAGGAGGGCGTTGATCAGAATACTGGACTCTTTAGGTGGTACTCCTGTGTGGTGCATGGAATAAAGCAGAAAAATTTGGATGCCAGCACTCTCAAAAGCTTTTTTTTTTTTTTAGTTTGCATCAAGAGAATTTTGAGAACTTTAACAAAATGTATTAACCACCCACCATAGAAAAGGTAAGAGAAGAGGATCTGGAGATCTTTGTTTTTGGTCAGTGTGTTTAAATAATCAGTTGCACACGTGCCAGAGAGGCGGAAGACTGGAGAGATGAGGTTGGCGATGCCTGACTTGAGCAGGAATAAAGAAACCCACTGAGGAATCAGCTTCAGAGTGGCCAGGTAGTGAGTCTTCTTGGCAGAAATCTGTTGGGATGGATGCAGAATTCAATTTAAACTCCAACGCAACCACAGAAGCTACTTTAATATGTGCCCATCAGTACCTTCATGATTTTGAAGAAAGTCTCAATGGCTTCCTTCTCATCAGGAAATTGCTTCAGCAAGTGAGCTTTCATTTCAGTTTTACCAGAAACAATGGTGTATTCTTGTTTGTCGTGGTCTTGGCCGATGTGGATGGTGTCAAAGTGTTGGTCCAGTTTCTGAAACTCCAGCTGGCCCTCCGTGATCTGATCAAAAACGATCCGTAGCAGACTGTTCTCATGGACCTGACCGATGTAGTGGAGACCTGAAGACATTTTATCAGCAGACAAAGCTTGATGTCGACTGAAGTCAGGTGAAAGGAGATCTTAACAAAACTAATTATCCAAAAATGAATAAAATGTCGGGCTGATGGATCCAATCCCACCCTCGTTTACTTCATTATGTGTGACACTGTGGAAGAAAGCCTTTTGGAGCTAATTGTAACTTTTACAAACAATTCTGCATTCAAATCAGACCATGAAACCCAAACATGAATTATTTTGTAGTAAACATTCCAGTTATTTAAGCAAGAATAGAAGAAATTATTATTTCACTCATTCATAACAGTCTGTTGACAAAGAAACTGGGGTTTGATTACACCTGATGTAAGTTCTGTTTAAGCACAGATTATCAGAGAAGTCGTGATAACTGGGCCAAGGAAATAACCTTTAATGTGGTTGGGTGCAAAATATTTTAACTAAATAGGAGTTAAAGTCTGTTGCAGTTCTTTACTTCAATAAATATTAAATAAATCTTCTATGGCATCAGACAACATAAATCTGGTTGATTACTTAAGGGAAAATTGAGTCTCTGTTTGAAGCGTCTGAATAAAGGTGCACTTACTTTGTTTGGAGAATCACTCTTGTCAGATATAAAATTAAATAACCATCTTTTTGAAGTGATCAGTCTTCACTATCCTGATTGAGACTTTTTGCTTCGGTTGGACTAAAATTCCAGATTTTTGTTTGTTTATCTACTTCTCAGTGGCCAGTGGTGACGTGTCCACCCTGGGATTAGGAGATCAGGGTTCAAATCAATCAAAATGGGACCCATTACATCCCTGCTTGATACTTAGCTTCAAGGGGTTGGATTTATGGGTTAAACCACCAAACTTTTCCTGAGTGCAGCCGCTGCTGCAGCTCACTGCCCCCGGCAGGGACGGGTCAAATGTGGAGGTGTAATTTCACCAGTGTGTGATGATGACTAATGGGACTTATAACATTTAGATTCAGGGCTCAACTTTAACTGATTCAGGGGCTACATTATTTCCTTTTTCAGTAAAGTGTTTGGGATTTTTATATTTGCAGTCATATTTAACCTGCTGAAACCTTGAACTTTATGTCAGAGCCATTTAATCCTGTTCAAATTGACGTTTCTGATTTGATGTGATAAAATAATCCTCCTTCCATCTCCTTACCAACATCAAACTCAAAGCCCTTCTCGATGTACGTGTGGCAGCAGCCTCCGGCCTGGTCGTGCTGTTCCAGAACCAGAACCTTCTTTCCTGCTTTGGCCAACGTGGCTCCAGCTGTCAGTCCGCCGATACCGCTACCGATCACGATGACGTCCAGGTTCTGTGGCACCTTGTCAGCACTGAAACCTGGACAGCAACAGTAACACACGTCATCAAGCGTTATGTAAATTTGTCTCGTTGCTCAGGCTGAAGGTTAGAACGCACACCTTCCAGGTTGTAAACACTGAAATAAGGCCTGGGTATGTGTTCACCTTTCTGCAATAAAAGTAGATTATGAAGCTATAATCAGATTAATCTAAATTAGGGAAAACATTTTAAAACACATCCCAGATAAAGATCTGTGATTTAATCTGATTAATGGTTTGGAGGGCATAATACAAAGTGTGTAATAGCTTTAAATCAGATATTACACATAAGGTAAATTAATTCAATTTAATTTAATCATAACAGTCATAAAATATGGCTTTACACTTAATCTATAATTACCTACCTGGACATGAGAATTTCATCAAATTAACAGAGACATCTGTGCTCTCTTACTGTAATAAATGTAAATTATCCATAGGATTTAAACATTTTAGACGTTTCTGCCTAATGAGAATGAGGTTTACAAATAGCATTGTCATAATCTTGACTGCAAGAAAAACCAAAGGAATTAAAAGTATGCCCATCTAACCTCATGACATCATTTGCAAAATTATATGATGTTTTCTCTAACAGTTATCCGAATTATCACCAAAATTATACTTACTTTTTTAAAGGGAAATTTTTTGAACTCATGCCATTTCATTTCAACAGTAGTTATTAATTTAACCCCAACCCTTTATATTTTACCTTGCTTGATGACTTTGTCTCTCTTCTTCTGATCAAATTCTCGAGGTGCAGGAGGTCTCACGGACTCCAGAGAGAAAGGGCTTCGTTTACCAAACAAGTACCAGTATGTGCCTCCGACACATGTCGCCAACCAGATCAGGAAAATAAAGAGCCACATTTCTGAGGGAATAAGTTTCTGTGGCGGTGCTTTCACAGCTGAGATTTGTCTGTTCCTGTATAAACCTCCTTTTATTGTGCCGTTGTGACAACGGTCTGAACAGGAAACGGCTGTTTGGACTCATGTAACATTTCTGAGTTGTAAAAGGTTGTAAAGATAAAAGACTAAAAGATCCACTACTGATGACGAAGCACCAGAGGTAGAAAATAACAAATTACATTTACTCGCGTTACTGTAATTGAGTAGCTTTTTTGTGTATTTATACTTTTTAAGTCGTTTTTAAAATTTGTACTTTTACTTTTACTTGAGTATGTTTTTTTTTTTAAAGAATTGTAATTCACTACATTTTAAATCATATCTGCTACTGAGTAAAATAATAAATTAAAAATATTGTGTGTAGCAGCATCGGAACAGGAAGAGACACCTGCATGAGCGCCACGTCTAAACCGTGGGGGTGTGGGTGTACACTTGATAATGAGGATGTTAAACAGCCACAGCTTCCCCACAGGCTCAAGAATACCTGGCTGCAGCAAAATGGCGACTGTAGGAAAGCTCTAAAATTACACGTATGGCGTATCACCGAAAACTACGTAACCTCCACCGGAAGTTATTGTTTTACCCCAAAAGTCGCATTACATTGCTCAATTCTTTATTGAAAGTTATGAAAAACGAATATAAAAAGCTTCGAATACATGTCTATGCATTTTTCTGCGGCCAAACTCGATGCTTTATTCTTTTACTTTTTAGCTTATAACAGGCATTGGTGGCCTGATGTAAGCACTGTTGATTTATCCATACCAACCAGTTCCGTACTAAGTAAATGTGTATCTTTCTTTTTTTTTTGGGGGGGGGGGGGGGGGGGGGGGGGGGGGGGGTCCTGTTTTTTATTGATTTATTCTATTTGTATTGCAGGTCACACTATCACCTGCTGCTTTTAAGTAGCATATTTTTCTTACTGTGCATGTGCTGCTCATTATAGTATTTTTATGGAATAGGCAAGTTAATTTAACATATTATCCAATAGAAACTAATGGACTATTCACATCCTCTACAGAACAAAGTGTGGTTCACAAAAATGTATTCATAGTCTTTAGGTCTTCAAAGAATTTTATGGATCATTCCATCATCTCGCCATCCCCCATACATGCCATGAACCGTTCCAACAATTTTTAGCTTCCTGAAAAAAACGTTATTTATCATGAAACTGTCATACTAACAACACTGATAATTAGACAAGAATTTTTTTGGCAATGAACTTTATTTTTCAACAATACACACCAGAAAAATCAAGAGCAAAATAAGTTGAACAGTGATAGAACATGGATAAAAATATGAAGTAGGACATTTAGATGAAAGCAAAAAAAACAACCCTTCTGACACACTGATGGCTTTGGCTCTCATCCAATAAAGGTTGAACACCTCTAGTTTAAAGGTTTCCCCTGGCCATCATGACTTCTGCTTGAAGCTGTGTGAGTCCTCCTTCTACTTGGAGGATGGTTATTAGGATCTGGAAAAGAGTGAAATGATCCAGTCATACCTTGTGTTGCTATTAGAAATGCACCGTTTTTTTGTTTGTTTGTTTTGTTTTTTACATTCAAAAGGAATAAAATATTGACTACAATGACCAAATAAAGTTCTCCCATTTCCTAAACCTCACAGATATTTACAATCTTACCTCTGGGAACATACCATCAAAGACAAAGTCTAGTAGCTCTAGCTCCCCCTTTTTTTATCCTGGTTCCCACACCCGTCACCTCTTCAATGGTTCTCAGTAGCTGAAAGATCTGATGAAATAGGCAGAAATCAATAACCACAGACATAGATATGCATTTGTGTGTGTGTGTGTGTGTGTGTGCGTGTGTGTGTGTGTGTGTGTGTGTGTGTGTGTGTGTGTGTGTGTGTGTGTGTGTGTGTGTGTGTGTGTGTGTGTGTGTGTGTGTGTGTGTGTGTGTGTGTGTGTGTGTGTGTGTGCGTACGCACTAGTGCTAGTGAGGAGCTGTATCAGTAGGAAGGGCAGTGTGACCTGCTGTAAACTGATATAAAAACACATCAGTCTAATTAGTGAAACTGGTGAAAACTTTATTTAGCAGGTATGATTATAGTTGTTGTCGTCAGTGGTCAGTTTGTCAAAGCAACGATCTAAAATGAAACAAAGATGAATCTGATAAATTTGTTATATAACTGTTTTTATCTAATAGGGCAATTAAGATAATTCACCTATGACAACTCTTTGAACACTTTACCACCGTGTTTACGATTTTACAGCTGATTAAATCAGAGTCACAAACTCATGTAGAACACCAACCCAATCTTTGAACTGAGCTCTTATCATTTATGTGAGGAAGGTCACATCTCCATGTTTCTCCTAATTGGAGATAAAACATCAGTGCTTAAAATGGAAATAGGTTTCTGTTCTTTCTTTCTTTTCCTTGTGTCCCTGTGCATACTGAAATAAAATATTCTGAATGCTATTGTGCCACATACCTAACATGCTCTGTTTAAATGCTAAAATAAAACAAAATGTATTAGAAATGTTCTTCATTTTTCATTTTGCACACTTTCCATCTTTTTTGAAAATAGCTAATTCAGAAAAGATGGTAAATTTAAACAAACATCAGGCTGGCACAAACTCTTCTAGTCTAGAAATCTAGGCACACAGTAGCCGAAGCAAAATGATTTTGCTCTGTGTGCATATGATCACATATATAAGATGGCATGCCAACCTAATTCCCATTTCCATTCTAACACCCATTCCTGGTCCGGTCTCTGGCCATCTCCTCAAGCTCAAGCCTCAGTTCTTCAGAGCCGCAAAGGGTTTTTGCATTGTGGAAATGAAAATCACTAATGTTCCTGTGCCTTTAAATTTGGTCCTGAGGCTCAAACGTCCCTAGACATGAAATCTTGCAAATGACAGAATTAAGGTAGCAGCATGAAGGTGAATGATGATGATGGTGAGGGTGAATGATTCTGTCATTTGAGACATTTTCCTTCGTCTCTTCAGGGTTTTGTTAATTGTATAACCTACAACAATAATTGCAGAAGTCATGATACCAAACAATGCTTTTTGAATGCAGAGAAACACAATTATTGTCATTCTGCTACAGGGAGGGGATGACTCACCTGGTCAGGTGGTGAACGATAATCTGTGATTCTGACAGCCCAAAGCAATGACCAGAAAGGAAAGCTATTTTATTAGTCAGGCTATTACTCTTCTAAGTTTAAAATGTGATAGGGTTTGATTGCTTTTTGATTTAAGTGTGATGGTCCCTTTTGATATTTGTACTGTTCATACAACTTAGGTAGGGAATTCCCCAGGGTCTGTTCTGCCTCCCTTGTTGTTTTCCCTTTATCATCTGCTTCTTTGAATGCTGTTTAAAAAACTAATGTTAATTTTCATTTATGTGTCGATGACTGTCAGTTATCCTTTTTACCTCGAATATTTGTCAGTCCCAAGGTTTGGACCTGAAATTCGATGTGAAGGTAAATTCTGTGGTTTAGTCTCCTTATTTTCAGTTGAAGCGTTTAGCTAAGGTCAAGCTGATTCTCTTGAAAAGGGAATTGGAGATTGTAATAAATTCCTTTATCTTGTCAGTGGTGGTTTTACCATTAGGCATAGGTCGGCGGTCGCCTGGGGCCCCCTTGTGTTGGGGGGCCCCCTAGCCCTGACCGCCGGCACCCCTCTGTTAATGCCACAATACTCTTATTACCAACCTGTGGCCGCTGACGAGATTGGGCATGCTTCTCATTACCATAATTCCTGAACCGTTCAAGATATCATTAAAATTCCAAAAGTGCTGAAAAGGTTAAAAATGGGGCTTTTCGTGCATATACAGCTACCGGCATTCCCTGTCTTGAGCGCAACGAATCACAACACAGATTCAGAGAAGTGCTGAGTTTGTCACCCATCTTTTGAATGGCTGATCAGATTCAGAACATTTCAACGGTTACTATAAGTACATAAAAGCAGCTTTCCAACAATCTATAGCATGAAGCAATCAGAGTTATGGAAAATATCGCTACGAGGGGAATTCCTGCTGTACAGCCTGATTGAAACGGAGCACAGAGCTGTGTCCAGGACTTTTAAAAAGGGGTGGCCCATATGGGGCACTTGTTTATGCATGGTTGGCACCAATGGATGTGCTTATTTATTTATTTACACAAATCATTTATTTATTTATTTACTTTCTAGTGAACTTTGGAGTGTGAGGTGCGCTCTGCCTGCAGCTGGAGAGAAACTGCTTCAAGGCCTACCACATCAAAGAAAAACGTCTGAAAGTTTACAAAAATAAATGGTCTTAAAAACAGCTAAAAAGATACCAAAGTTCACACTTTTTTAAGAATAGATGCATTGCAGTTCAAAGTTTAAATTGTTCATTCCAAATTGTTTGCCCAGTAATTTTGAAGTTCTTGTTCAGTAATTACTGTAAAAAATTCAAATCCGTTTTTTACTTTTTTCACTTTTAAGCTGATTTTTTAAAGGCTTTAATACAAATAAATTCTAAATACAAACCATACAGTGAAAGCTGAGGTTGTTCTGACAAAAGGAGAAGAGTTACACACACTTTGCACTTTTTATTACAATTTTACAGCCATAAGATAAAAAAATTACCAGGCGGCCCTGTTATAATTATGGTCATAAGAGGGTTATTAAGACAGTGATGCACAAACAGGAAGTGATTGGTAGTCATTCCACTCCAATCCAGTTGGTGGCGGTAATGCACCAAATTGTTGTTTGCCAAGTTGTTTAGATTGGACTACTTCATTTCGCTTGATGCAAGTTTGTGACAGCCCTTACTGTTGAGGCTGCAGCTGGTGCAAATTGCTAATGCCTGGTTCATCTGTGGAGCCAAAAAATACTCCACTTCTGGTCACTTTGTACTGGTTACCAGTGAAATACCACATGCTTCTCAAGATTCTGGTTTTTGCCTTTCATTCAGAGGATCAACACCAACTTATTTGTCACTTTTATCATGCTGTGTTCCAAGATCTCTCCACTCTGTTCAAAGTGACCTTTTAGTGGTTCATCGGTCAGAACATAAGCCTAGAGATGAATGTGCTTTTCAGTATTAGGCCCTGGGCTTTGGAACCAACTATCACCTGAGATCAAACAGTCCGCGTCTCTCCAGACTTCCAAAGCTAGATTGAAGCTTTACTGGGTTCCTTAGTTTTATTACTGCTTTATCTCATTTTTATTGTCTTGTGGTCTTGTTGTTTGTACTGTGTTATGGTTTTTACAATAACTTTGTATGTGTTTTGAGTGCTTTTACCCTACAGAAACTTGGGTGTCATTGGCTGATGGCAGGAAGGTGCTATATGAATGTACAATTTGCTATTTTTGCAACTGATGCACAGTCATAGTGGCTGTGATTGTGTTTCGTGTTACTCGTCTGCCTGCTAGACACATTCTCCTATAGAGACAACAATAAAGTGATGCTGGCAGTGGAAACAGATTCGTCTGGAGAATGAAGCTAATTGGATGGAGGGCTCACTGTGGAAGCCAGAGGTAAAGACCTTAACAGAGGAAGCAGCTCAACTGGACTGTCTGACCAACTGCGCTTCTGCAGTGAAATCCTATTAAGATTAAACTCTGCAGGATGAGCGGAAGTCGTGTGACTTTGCCCTGTTTGGCTCTGTGGTACAGGTGAACAACCTGGTGCTTTACAGCTGAACACATTTATCACTGATCACTGCGTAGACACTGTCATCTGATGTTTTAAAACAAGTAGAAGAAGAAAAACAGCCAAAGCTATTTGCATTTATTTACAGATTAACACATTTTCATATCAACAGCTACATACAGTCCAAGTGTCAGCACTAACATTGTCTTTCTTTCATTTGTACATTTTATTCACGTGTCTACAAATTAATAATGTGATTTTAAAAAACTGAGTGACTTGTCCTTTGATGCCCGTCTGTGTGCTATGTAACTGTACAGCCTCCTTTGTCTCCCTTATAGGGGTTCTTGTCATCTGGAACACCCTTAATCAGCGGATCGTTGGGAAACAGTCCTTCAACATAAGCAATGGTTTCTGCACAGTTTACACTCACCTGTTCAAAGGAAAAGTGAGAAAAGTTTTACGTGTGTGGTTCAAATGAACTGAATTTACTTGTTTTTAGGAAACACATGGTTCACTCACTGGTGTTCTTGGGGTGCTAACTTCCTTTTTCAACTGATCCAACTCCATCTTCAAGATTTCTTTATCTGACATGTCCCGAGCCATCCTGGCTGCAGGAAAAGATCAAGATCCTCTTTTAAAAATCATGACATGTCTTTGAAAATTAACTTTTGGATTTTAGTTATTGTACAATATTGTGTAGGTTTTATGAGTGTGTTTTAACAAACTCTTAGTTTACAATGAGAAAATCAACCTAACAAAGACAGCTGTCTGAGTCTTTTACCTGCTGAATGGCGGGATCCCCAGTGATCGGAGAACTGTGTCGGCTCCGGAGAGCTAGTCCACTCTGCTCCTTCCTCTCGTCTGGTTGCTTCTCTTCACTGACTGAGGTGCTGTCCCACTGCTCCTCATCCCCCGCTGCTGGCTTATGGCTGAGGTGGCTGCCGGATTGATGCTGATGTCACCAATCCTCTGTGATGGGATTAAACAATCAGAGAATTTAGCTTCAGAACAGGAAGACGACTCTAACAATTTGCAGAAAGTGAAACAATTTAAATGACAGTTTTGGAGCGTCACATCTTCTGTCTGTGCATTATTGCTCAGTTTTAATTGGCATTAAACTTGTAGATTACAAAAAAATATGGTTTTATTCATTTTAAATGAACTACAAAAGATAAAGTACAAAATTCTAAGTGAAAAATGGCATTTTTAAATATGTACACATTGTGTGTCAAGTTAATTTCAGTAATTAAACATTAACTCAACCAGCAGGGAGGCCTGATTACTATTAGGCTCAGTGTTTATCTAATCAGTTTCTTAGTCGTTCAGCATCACTTGTCAATTAAACAACTTGTGTCATAAAGTGTAAAATGGGGAAATAAACGTTTAGGCTTTAAATGTAAAGGCTTTAAGGTTTTTTTTTCTTTCCTGTTGCAAGTATTGATTTATTTATTTTTGCTCATGTGTGGGATTTGGTCAAGATATTCTGGCATTGCTATTTCCTCTTAAAGACTGTACTTTCTCTTTGATTATGTTTAAAAACAGCTCATTAAACAAATGATTTCTTTCTTTTGTTATAATGTAAATTACCGATAATTCACTCAAGCTGCAGCACAATCTTTTCAAACATCAAGTTTTCTCTGTTCTCATCACTTTCTGTTTGACGTTTGATGCTGGAAAGCAGAAGTCACTTTGATCCAAGGCTCAACCTCTGGCAATACTCTCATTAAGCCACTTTCAGGATCTGGGTTAGCACTCAGGATTAACCTAAAACACGTCACTGTGGATTAACGGTGAAGATGTGCTCCTGAACATGTATTAGCTCCTCTACCAATTCAAAAAGAGAGAATGAAAACAGCCCATAATAAATTTGCATTGATAAAACAATAATTATTCTTGGTCATGAAAGACAAGTTTGACCAGCAAATTTAGATTTCCCAAACATAATTTAAATAATATAATCCTTGCTATTTGCCAACCTTTTACCAATGTAGCTAATTTGTCAAACATTTCAAATCAAAACATAGTTTGTTTAATTTCTGTAAAGGTTTGGGATGTAATCATGTTTTACCTTTTCAACTCTAAAACGTGTGTAGTCACTACCTTAGTCCTGTAGGTGGAGGTAAATAACCTTTTATCAACGCATCCAGGGCTGCTAGTTGTATGCATAGATATCATATATAGTATTAGCTAGATCCCCTAACTGGGAGTCGGCAGCTTTAGACAATTTTAGATCTTTGAGTCCATCTCATGAAAAATCGGAGCAGAAACAAAGGTGTTGCGTTTATATTTTTGTTGCGTGTAAATAGCCTTTACCCCAGATCAGAGCATCCAGTGTCAAAGAGGGCGTGTGTTTCTGAGATTCTTCGTAATATCCCTCAAACTTGTTAACCTCTGGTTGGCTACACAATCATAACATGGGAACATTAAAACCAGATTACTGGGGTTTTCCATCAGTTCTAGAGAAGCTTCAGACCGGCCACCTGAAGCACACCTCTTTAACCACCAAAGCTTTTGACACGTCGTCAAAACCTTTTTAAACCTGAAAAGATGATAAAGCAAACAGTTCCTGCAGAACAAGCTGATATAGTTTAGACTCCTTAAGAGGCCCAGACGCGCGGTTCCATCCATCTGTCGTGATCCGAGACATCTCTGGACTGGAGGGTTGGTGCCATGGTATTCTACAGCCCTTTGGTGCCAGAGGTCATCTGACCTCTCTGACCTTCAGATCCACCAAGAGGGTATATGAAAATGGGTCATGTAGACACACAGAAAGCGTCTGATGTGGTTTTTGATAGTAAACTCATAGCTTAACGCAAACCAAATTCCTTTACATCGCATTCACACAGCTCTCCGAGATGCGGAAGTTCTGACTAACATCGCATTCACACATAGGTTTCATACATCACATTTAGTTCCATCCACTCACAGTAAATGTTAGTTAACCAACCTGTCATGTTTTAATTGTTTGTCAAATAAATTCTTACTTTTATAAACCTGACTGTTTTCTGAATCAAAATGAAGTGTGTACAATCCCCTAATAAATATAGAATCCTAGAATCTTCTGATTACAGCACAATAAAGACCAGACAGGGTGATATTCTATATTTAGATAGAGTATCACAGGTTATAAGTAGAGGTATATATATATATATATATATATATATATATATATATATATATATATATATATATATATATATATAGCTCTTAAAGCACTCAATTTATTAAACCCTACATATGTAAAGTATAAAGGCAACCACACTGTCCAGTTACATTGGTAATCGTAATTTCAGGATTTGTTGTGCGGCAAGCCATGACCAAGCTGTCCTGTGATGTCTGCCATGCCAGCCTGCAATGGATGCTGCATCTGCCTGTGATGACCAGAGCTACCATTTGCTGACTTTGAAGAAACATGGGGGTCTTGTTGTCCCTTCTGAAGGTACTGTGAGGGTCATCAGAGCAGCAGAGTGGGCAATTCGCCAGGCATCAGTGGGCAGACGATCACAGCCCATCAAACCACTGGAGGTCATCTACACTGCGCAAGAGGATCGGGTCAGAGGATGTCTTTTTGCTTGGGGAGCACACCAGTGAAACACAGTATGGATTTGAGTCTCACTCCCATACACTGTTGACTTCTATTGTCTCCCTGTTCTTTAAGCTGAGGATGCACCACATTGCAAGATTAGCAACTCTTAGCTTTCAGTCTGACAGCGTGAGACAGAAGCTCACAAAAGCTGTCCTTTTCAGAGGTCACTAGGAAACCACAATGTGCTTTAGCATCTGTCTTAGATCTGTTATTTTCAAAATAAAAAAGATGTATAATCTGTAATAAACAAGTTTTTCATAACTGTCAATCTGTCATTCATTTACTCTTTAATTTTTGAAGTGTTTATGTAGTAGCCTAGTGAACTAGACCAAATTCTTGCTTTGCAAAGTTTGGTCTAGGCATGCTCCATTGGAACCTCCACAGCTCCTACCAGGACTCTGGCTAGCCAATCACAGCTCTCTAGAGGGGTTTCAAACACACAAAGAGCTGTGATTGGTCCATAATGGTGGGCCAATCATAGTGCTCTATCTGCTTAGTGAACAAATCACAGAGCTTTATCCACTTTGTGGGCCAATCAGGGCACTCTATATGCCTGGTGGGTGGGATGATGCAACAGAGTGAAACAAGAGTATGTCACATTCATTGTCCAGTGGAATGCAGAGATCATTTGAAAGACAACGGTAGAACCCGCCCCACAACCGAGAGCCATCAATGGAGCGTGGCCAGACTAAATAATACATTTATTTAGTCTGGCTTGCCAGGCTATTTATGTAGCCCTTTAGCTCACAATTATCCCAGTTTTCTCTTCTCAAACTTTCATTTTAAATGGGTTGCAGGCTGAAAGTGGAAATAAATATAAAATATTATAACTTGCCAAAGAAAGTATATATTAGGTTCATATTACTTGCAAATATTAAAGTCAAAGTAAATAAAATATATTATGTGTATCTTAAATTGTCTTTTTATAAAATATTTTCTCAGTCATTGAGGTTCTAGAGCTGTTTTGTTTTTTTGGATTGGGTGTTTTAACTTTAAATTTGTTTCACGCTTCGGTGTATTTTTTATTTATTTGTTTTACTATTTTCTGTAAATTAAATCATGCATTTGAGTTTTTATTTATAAGTTGATATGGTAAGTTATAAGGTATCTTAAAACATATATTCATAAGTTGTCCTCAGCTACTGCTACAGCTAGTTCATCAGAAGCAGATCTTGTTGACATTAAAACGTTAAGTCTGTGGGAAATTGGTAGGATACGATAAAACGGCTAGAAAGTGGAGTGAAATAAGGGGAGTTTCCTGCTAAAACTGATAGATTTCATAGCCACGTATCTAATGTTTCTAAAAAATCAAACCGTATGAAAATCGGTTGAAAATTGAGAAAGTTAAGAGTTGTTTAAATAGAGCATGCAACCACTAAACAATGTTAAGAGGATGGCAGCTGTCCGAAGTAAGATGGCCGCCGCGGACGAACATCGCGGATGAGGAATCTAGCTAACATATATGATGACTATGGTTGTATCAGCCAATAGAAAGACTCGTTCAATCCGGAACTTTAAGGTTTTTTTTTTCAGAACAAGAGCTTCTTCTCAGCTGTTTGAATAAAATGTGCTATACCGAAATCATGTTGGCGATTTGTTCTTTTATTTTGATAGGCCACTTTGCTTTTCTACGGAAGTGGCGTTCCTGCTGAATATGTGAGCATCAATCATGGCAGGTCCCAGTCGAAAGCAGATGTTTCGGTTCCTTAGCCAACTTGGGGCTTTTATACTTACTCGTTTTGGATTTTGGAACTGCTTTAGCATGCTGATGCTGTTTGCCGAAAGAGCGGACTTAAAAAGGTATAAATATATTTTAAAAAAATTGTACTTTTGCAATAGCTTCTTGCCACAGTTAGCTGCAAGCTAACGGTTGTTCATTTTATTTACTTGCGTTCAATCTATGGATTTGTTGAAAAAGTAGTCAAAACGAAGAACGATCTAAGATGGGGTTTCCGTCTCTTTTCATATTTCCGCCCAGATTGAAACTGGGTAGACATTTTCCATATACACTTGTTTTTTGATGTTTTTGCCTCACTAGTTTTGTGAACTTCCTCATCCACACCCCCTGACTTATCCAGTAATTAAAGTCTTCCCGAGGAGGAAAAATGGGCTGTTTCTATTCCTGCTCCCCGGCTTCCCTTTATGCCCGTAGGATGAGAGTGGTGCTTAGCTTTATTTATTTACCCTTTAGACCATTAAATGTTATTGGTGGTGTATTCATTAAATTTATGGGTTTGAAGTTTGCTTACAATTGTAATAATTTAGATATTCTTAAAGGACAATTTTAGTCTAAAGTATTTGTTTTCAGAAACAGAGAAAAAGAAAAAAATGGTTACATATAATTTCTTAAAGATGTTTGTCCTTTATTTAAATCTGATCAGATTACCTTGTGGACACTTTTTCCCCAGAAAGCCAGACATCCATTTACCATACCTGTATGTGGACATGGGAGTGGCCGTCCTCTGTGCCAGCTTTATGTCTTTTGGAGTGAAGAGGAGGTGGTTTGCACTGGCAGCTGCTGTGCATCTGGCCGTTAGCACTTATGCTGCGTATGTTGGAGAACAGGTGCATTATGGGGACTGGCTAAAGGTGAGTAGAACGTGCTAGAAATGCACCGATACTGGTATCGGTGCCGGTATTGGTAAAAGTTAACCGATACCAGTAATTGATACCAATGCAGTTGCCTGAAAGTGGCTTCACTGCAACTTGCCGTTTCTGGTCACATAATATTTCAGTTTTGTGATCATTTCTATTAATATATTTTATTTTGTGTCTACGTCACAGTCTTTTCCTATTGAAAGCAGATAAGAAAAATAAAACCTGTATTCCAATTCATAGCATTTTGTGTGTGTGTGGTAGAAGTATCGATATCGGCGAGTACTCGGATCCAAGTGTCGGTATCGTATCCCATTTGGAAAAAAGTGGTATAGTTGCATCCCTAGAACATGCTGATATCCGGTTACCCCTTTGCCTCTGACCCTAACTAATCCTGGAAGGACTGGACATTATATACAGCTTTCCATAAAGTTTTGGTTTACTATAAAACAAAAACAGAATTTATTGTATGCTCGCATTGTTACATCCTCATTTGTACGCCACTTTGGATCGAAGTGGTAATAATTTAATACCACTTTACAATTATTTGTCTTTATAAACAAGTTGAAAGGCTACATTTATATACATGAAGTGTCACAGGGTTAATAGCTGAACGTGTTTTCTGTTTCTCTAAATAATTGAGCGTCAAACCCAAGCCACTGTTCGTCTGTCGCTTCATGACCGTAAACTGACCACAACTTTCTGAACACCTTTTCAATGTAAACTGGAGACATTTTTAGCCCATTCTGATATTCAGATGGTGGGGTTGCAGGCTGACTTCTATTCCTGGTATCATTCTGCTGTTGAAACTTTATGCACTTATTACACAAAACAAGGACAAGAAACCAGTTTAAATGTCCCTTTCCTCTTTCCAGGTACTCTGCAACTAAAAAGCTTGAGATGCTGTAAAGATCAGATGTGGATCAAATTTAAATCTAAATATAACAAACAAAAATTAGATTAGTGTAGAAATCTTAATTGCCATCAGATCTATGTCGCGCATTTAAAAAGGGATCTAGGCCACCGCTGTGAGTCTGGAAGTAGATGGTTTAATTATTGGCACTCAGGTTGAACTTTGTTGTTCTGCAGGTGCGGATGTACTCCAGAGCTCTGGCGATCATCGGGGGCTTTCTGGTCCTGGCCAGCGGTGCGGGGGAGGTGTACAGACGGAAAGCACGCAGCAGATCTCTGCAGTCCACTGGGCAGATCTTTCTGGGAATCTATCTCATCTGTGTGGTAAGATCCATGTCTGATCATCTTTATGTGGCTAAAATTCAGTCTAAACTCTAAATTGTCCCTAGGTGTGTGTGTGTGTGTGTGTGTGTGTGTGTGTGTGTGTACGTTCATTTTGCAGCTTGCCTAGCTGCTGTATGAAGAGCCTGCATGTGGCGTTAAGCTGCAATAACACATTTTCTCCACTAGGTGTACTCCCTGCAGCACAGCAAGGAGGACAGGCAGGCCTATCTGAACCACATCTTTGGAGGGGAGCTCACTCTGGTGCTGCTGGAGGTGCTGTTTGGTGTTCTGGCTCTGGCTTTTCTCTCAGGATACTACATCCGCATCGCCGCTCAAATCCTGGCCACCATCCTCCCTCTGGTCATCCTCCTCATCGACGGAAACATCGGCTACTGGCACCACTCTCGCAAGGTGGAGTTCTGGAACCAGATGAAGCTGATTGGCCATAACGTCGGCATCTTTGGTGCTTTGCTGATTCTCGCCACTGATGGTTAAAAACTCTGAATGTCTGAAAGAACTTCTCCAGCCCGGGGTGCAGGATGAGATGGTTGTGGCCTTTTATTTTCGTCACACCCTGAATCTAGCTAAAAGCTGCTGTTGCTCAGCAACACCTCAGGATTCAAACGCTCCACGCTCAGATGCATCTGGAAGAAACAAACACACACACAACTTCGTTGTTTTAAAACAAGTGTTGTTATTTATTTGGAGTCGTGTTTACATTTGCTTTGCTCTGACACATTACGCCAAGAACTGGGACTATGGTTAAACTTAAGCAGGACACTTTGACTAGTAAAGAGCTGGACCACTTATCACATTAGGTTTGAAACGTTTTATAAGGGAAGCTGTCATATTGCTTGAGATCATTTGATAAACGGTTTGAAAAGTAGCTTTTTATTTGTACACACGACTGTTTTCAGTAAATAAAAGGGATTTGAGTCTTCAGTTTAAATGTTGACATTACATATAAGCAAACTCCACTTGGATGTGTGATTGTCAGACTGATGATATTCAGGATTTTACTGTTTTACTAAATAAATGGACTGACAGCCGCATGTCAAACATGAAGCTTTGTACTTAATGAGAATAAAGTAGCTATGTTTTTGAAGTTTCAGCTGTTTTAAGAGACAGAGTTAGGTTGGACAGAGCGGTGGTTCTGAGCACACGTTCCTGCAAGAACTGATGTAGGAAATCGTTTTTACTGATGGCAGCCAGAGAATTAACAAGGAACAAAAGGCAAGCGAAGGTGTTGCAGCTGTGACGTTACGTGGTTTTGAAGCTAATGTACAGATGAATTAATAGTAGCATCCAGTGATGACTTCTGAGATATTGGTCCATCACATCAACCCAGAAGCTGAACAGTAACTGAAGCATCGACCAGGACTTGTGCCGTTCCTCTGATCCAGCAGCATCCAGTCTCTGAAGCAGTTCAGTCACTTTTCCTGGGACTCCGCATCACTCGCCGCTTGTTTGTTCTTACGATTGCGTTCTGCTTTGACCAGAGCGCCGATCACCGCCAGCAGCACAGTGATGGTGATGACGAGCACCGAGGCCGTCTCAGCCATACACAGCTGGCTGTCCATGGAGGCCAAGAGGCTCCCAGCCTGCTGGGGAGGGGCGTGGCAGATGATCCCCCTGTAGTCCTCCACGTGCAGGTGTCGGACGTACTGGATCTTACCAAAGACGCGCTGCAGGTCACAGTCACAGACCCAGGGGTTGAGGGACATCTGCATGTGGGTGCTAATGGTTTGGAGCTTCAGGAAGGTCTTGAACTTGATGTGCTCCAGCTGGTTTCCCTGGAGACCGAGTATCGTCAAACTGCGCAGTGGAGCGAGAGCTTCAGTCTGAATCTCTGAGATGTTGTTGTGGTTGAGCAGCAGAACCTCCAGGCTCTGCTGTCTGCTCAGTAAGCCCTCTCTAAGCACATTCAGCTTGTTCCCGTCCAGGTTCAGGAGGCGCAGTCGAGACAGGCTGTTGAAGGCTCTGACGTCCAGCGTCTGGATCTGATTGTGACTCAGGTCCAGCTTCTTCAGGTTGTCTGAGTCACTGAGGGAGGACGAGTCGATGTGCTGCAGCAGGTTGTGATCCAACCGCAGCTCCTGGAGGGAGGATAGACTCTTTGTGAAGTCATCAGGGAGCCAACGCAGCCGGTTAAAACTCAGGTCCAGCCGCTCCAGGAACTGAAGGGATGACAGAGACTGGAAAACAGGAATTCATTGTCACACACCAGCTGGTTTCAGTCTTAAATATTTCACCTTTGCTGGAAGATGTTTAGAGATTTCAGATTGTGTTGTTTATATTTTAATGATCACAAGAAATAGCTGTTTCCACAGCAGACATTTTGAATAGAAAGTAGTGAAAACACAAGTTAATTAAACTCCTACAGCTGTGCAGTCGTCGTCTTCCTCCGCTTGTCCGGGTCGCGGGGGCAGCATCCCAACTAGGGAGCTCCAGACCGTCCTCTCCCCGGCCACCTCCACCAGCTCCTCCGGCAGGACCCCAAGGCGTTCCCGGACCAGATTGGAGATGTAACCTCTCCAACGTGTCCTGGGTCGACCCGGGGGCCTTCTGCCGGCAGGACATGCCCGAAACACCTCCCCAGGGAGGTGTCCAGGAGGCATCCTGACCAGATGCCCAAACCACCTCAACTGACTCCTTTCGATCCGGAGGAGCAGTGGTTCTACTCCGAGTCCCTCCCGAATGTCCGAGCTCCTCACCCTATCTCTAAGACTGAGCCCGGCCACCCTACGGAGGAAACTCATTTCGGCCGTTGTGCAGGTTCATCCAAAAACCTGCACATTTGATGAGCCCCCCCACCCAAATGAATTTTGAAAACAACCCTCACCCCACTCCACAAGAGCTGGACACTGTTTATGATTGCATTAACTTTTAAAGAAACAAACACTGTTGGTACCGTGCAAAACTCCTTATGTATCTCACATGATACTGCATACATGGTAACGTTTACATTTGCAAAACCCTCCACCATCCCTGCAAATACGTCTGTGCGCCTAATGCTGCTGAAATATCTGAAAGCCTGGTTTTGGTTTGTTTTCGAGCGTGATGGTTGTTATGTTTAATTTTATATTTGGAAGGCACGGACAGTGTGTGTCTATTCAGGAGCTGAAGCAATAGACTTCATTGTTGGAGGGTTTGAAAATAAATTCCAAGTGTTTTTAGTTTTAGAAAACAATTTGAAACAAGTATTTAAAAGAAAATGGGAGTATAAAAGTGGGTTTAATGTTTTCTGGTTAGCTTTGTTTGAAAGGTTGATTAGAGTTTTTGAAACTGTGAATACAGACATGGTACTTTTGTAAGTTCATCCTACTCTCTTTTAAACTTTGTGAGCAGTGTGTTGACTGGTATATCTATAATGACGTCTTCTTTTTGTTTATTTTTCAAATTTTGTTCAAAATAAATAAAATTAAAAATAAATTGACAGAATAAAACAAAGTGAAATCCCCTCTAAGGATCTTCAGGAGCATCCGTGGACACGTGTAGAGGAACACGTTGAAGAGCTCATGCTCACTTGGGGCTGCAGCACATTCTGGTGAATGCATGTTCTCTTATGGAAGCAGCCTGCAGCCATCCTATCTACGTAAACACGTAGTAGGAGCAAAATAGTTTTTCTACTGCAGCGGTTGGTCCAGGTTTACCAGGCTACTAGACAGAAACGTTTGGGGCTAACGTTTGCTACTGTGTGCAAAATAAACTCACAATAAAGTTTGTCTTGTACTCATCCTTGTATTATCTGTCATTAATACTCTAATCCCAAACTTTAAACTCAATCATTAAAACTGAATGTTGACCATCAAACCCCTACTAGGAAAGACACGATCATAAACAAATGTTTTTTTTATTATTATACTTTCATTTTACTTGGTCCTTTTTCTGTAAACGTTGTTTTCACTTGGTTTTTGTTAAATATTATTTTTCAAACTGAAAAGCTTATGGGTGCACTTTGTATTTTCGGATGACCTTGACCCTTTCCCCACAGTGAAGCACATTTCAGTCTGTCTATAGATTTTATGCGCTGAAATAAGCGAAAGAAAATAAATGTGCTAAACTGTACACACACATCTGCATACGACAAAAATGTTATTCATCTTGTTATAATCTGCAGATAATCTGCCCCTCCCCGCATGATATAAGGTCATGGTCTAATGAGCAGAACCAGCTGATGTTCTTGTACCTGTGGGTGGACAGCATGGATGCTGTTGTTAGACATGCAGAGAATCTTGAGTGACCACAATCCCACGAACGATGTGAAGCGTATGTCCTTCACCTTGTTCCCACTGAGATCCAGTAGCCAGGTGCCATGGGGGACACCTTGGGGGACATGGTCCAGCCCACGAAACCTGCAGTCCACCAAGTCTGATGAATCGTAGCACAGGCAGGGGTCAGGACACAGCCTGGAGCCGGACACGATGTTGAGGAGAGGCAGCAGAGGAATCATTATGATGGAGGACATCTTTCCTGGATCAAAGAACATCTAGTCCAGCTGAAGGACATGGTTGACCCTGCTGTCTACCCTCCGAGCGATGCATCTGAAAGCATCAGGATGAGTCGTTTCAGCAAACTCCTGAGAGCTCACATAGAATATTCCTGATTAGATCAGGGATTATGGGCTTAAACTGATGATCACATAACCAGATCTGGGGAGCTAACCTGGACCCTTTCCTAAAAACGGGCTTTACATCGGCTTCACTGTAAGGAAACATTAAGCAGGCTTGCATGATAGCAATCGGTAATTCGATTTTACGCGACACCATATGGATCTGCCATAAACCTTTCTGACGAAAGAATATAGGTCATGTCTGAGCAGCTTTAGCAAAAAACATTCACATTTAACCCTCTGGAGGCAGGTGTTGCACATCTGCAACGTTAAAACCTACCTACCTACGTATTTCAGGAGCATTTTAACTCAGAAGTACCCCTGAAGTACTTAGTTGTTCGTCCTTTTATCAGAACTTCATTTGAGCCTGAGAGAGTTGAGCCGCAATACCCGGAAAAATCATTTGTCAAACAATTGTTCAGACAAAAGGAGCTTAGAGATTACAAACATATCCGTGGTCATTTGGTTTGGTTTCACTCTAAATGCAAAGAAAAATACATCTCTGCTTTTCTTGGGTAGTTTTAGCCAGATTAACGCACAATTATTTTAAATATTGCTGAACTACGAGGAACCGCAGGTTGTCCTGAAAAAGCCAAAATCAACCTGAACTAGAGAACGCAAAAGCTTATAAAATGTCAAAAATTTGAAGCAGTGCTCATAAACTGCACAGATTACAAGGCCATTAGAGTCCAAAAATAGAAACCTAAGCATTACTCAAACCCTAATCTGGTGGAAAACCATGGATGATCGTTCACTCCGGAAGCAGGATGGACCACAATCATGGAAATGACTACGCTCACCCAGAGCTCGACATCTTCAATCACAAACAGCAAAAGCACAGATGGTTCTCTCAAGAAGGTGTGGAAAATTACATTACAGTCAGAATTTTTGTTACTTTTATTTTAGAAAATGTCCTTTAAAGTGTGGCGTTTCAAGTCACATTTTGTTTAAAATACAGAAAATACAGACAGTAGAACATGGATACAGAAAAAAAGAAAACCATGACAGAAAATAAAGCTAACAAGCCTTTCTGACTGCTCTAGTTTTTTCTTTCTGAAATGGAACTGAAGGCAAAAGGAGGAGGGTGGAAAAAGAAAAGGATTGAGAAACAGGAGAGGGTGGAGGATAGGGCAGAATGAGACAGGTTAGTTAAGGAAACTATGGTCGTTTTATGGATCATGTTTAAATTATTCTTTATAAAGTCTAATTTAAGATTTAATCTTTCCTCTCTCTCTTTTTTGTCTTTTTCATTTAATGGTATTTTGATCTTCAGGATCCAGGGCCCTCAGCGCTCCTCCTTGTGGTCACGGACTGAGGACAAGGAATGCCGACTTTGTCTGGCAGTGGGAACAAAACCACCCGTGTCGCCTTCCCCAGTCGAGCTGCACTGCCATCTCAAGAAGATAAAGTGGAGTCCTTCTGTGTTTGCTGTGCTTGTGAACGCTGCATGGACTTCTGACTTTCCACGTCTCTAAAATGTTTCTCAACCTGCAACAAACCAACAACCAACATTAACAAATTAGGACTAAAATTAATGATTAAATGCTCCTGCGTAATTTTTCAATTCTGAGCTGACCTCTAGACCTGCACTTAAATACAGAACCCAACAGTTGGTTTAACAGAAGGACAGTAAGTTGAGGAGTGAGGTTTTAATATGTTTAGTGGTTTCAGCACAAAGTCTCCTGAACAGCTGGATAGATTTAAATCAAAAGCTCAGAAATGAATCATGAAGTAAACATCGAAAACTGATGAACATTTGGGATAAATGCCATTAAAGATGGCAGCCACAGCTAACGACAGTAGAAAACACAAATATTGCTACAGCTCATTACAATTTGCAGAAGGTTTGAGAGCTTAAGATCCTATTAATGATCTCCATATGAGATAAGGACTAGACGATATTTCAGGCCAATAATTACCTTTGTTTTAATACATCACATTGGCTGATATATCTCTTTAGTAGAGCCGATTTAAAAACAGGCACATCCACGGGCAGCCCAGTGCTGGTTAAGTATATATTTATGCTCCTGAAAAACATCTGCTTAAAGAATGCTCTGAAACATTATATTCAACAGAAATCTCTTATTCACTAGTTTTAAATGTAATTCATTGATTTGCTTTTATTAATTTTGTTTACATGTTTATTTTAAATTGGGCAGAACACAAAATTAGGTTTCAACAGTTGGTTAAATTCAGAATTCAAAACCTCTCGGTAAGATTTTAGCACGTAAATAAGGCAGAAAACACCTAGAACCACAAACTCTACATATTGGCACTAGAAAAACCCTCATCAGTTGATCTTTAATACCGATGTTACGCAGCTCCAGCAGCCTTCAGTGTGATGATCTCAGTTTCAAACGTGCTGGGGTCATGTCCTTTCCTTTATAATAGAAAAACTAGGGTTTTACTTTTTGTCAATAAGCCTTCCAAGCCTACAGTTTCGGCTGCTGTTTATTAACCTGAGTGATCAGACCAAATAAATGATATTCTCTGTAATAAAGTGTCTGCACGCTGACACGAATCCTCTTGAATTAAATGCAGCTAATAATGAAACCACAGCAGCTGCTGAGATCTTTTTGGCACCATTGATGATTTTTTCCCCCTCTATTGCACAAAATTAAGTGAAATCAGACTAAATAATAAAGCAGTCTAAATGTCCAAGTGGCACATGAGCACTGAGACTCTTAGATTTAAAAGGTTTCCACATTTCCTTGTGCAGCCCGTTCTGCTGGTGCATTAAACTGAGCCCAGGGACAAAATAAATCAGGGAAACATCTGTCAGTTAAGCCATAGTGGAGGTTTCTGCCTTCTGCAGCAGAAACAGGAGACTGGAGGGATTCAGAGTCAGACGACCAAATCCCACTTTCACTTTTTAAACGCCCTCTCTGAAACACAAAATCTTTTTTTTCAATCCCTTGAAAAAAGGTCTTTAGGATTCAAAGAATATTTCACAGACTAAACAACTAGAATTATGTAAAACCAGGGTATCTGCAGGTTTAAGGGAGCCAAATGTAAGACTTTTTAAGACCTTTTTTTAAGACCACTTTGACCAAATTTAAGCTAATTTTTTAAATTAAATTTAAACTATAATTTCCAGCTATTGACTGGAACCGGTGCTAACCACGTCGCAAACGTGGGATTAGCCATCCAGTTACCATTAAACTTGCACTTCCCCATGGCGCAATCTCCCACTAGCTTAACCAGCTAATGTGCTCATCTAAAAAAGCCCCCTTTCACAACCAACTGAATGCGTACGGTTCCGCTCACGCCAATATCATACACAAAAAATGCTGAACACTAACTAGAAATTTATGAAAATTTTATAGAATTAAAAGAATCTTGTTTATTGGGTCTTTGGTAATTTAAGACCTTTGGAAACTGTATTTAAGGATTATTTGTCATTTTAAAGGATTTTTAAGGCCTTACATTTGGAAAAGCTAATTTAAGACGTTTTAAGACTTTAAGGACCCGCGGACACCCTGAAAACAGATGTTCGAAACAGCTTGTGTAGCGATGAAGAAAACTTACTATTTTGCGTACGTGACTTAAAGCGCTTCCCTCTTTGCCTCTGCAGTTCTCAACCTGGTAAGGCGGTGAGATAACGACATCGTCCATCACAATAATGTTCTTCTCCTGCCATTTACAGTCTTTGATGCTGCAAAGAGAAAGCAGCATGGCCTTATTTGGACTTGGATGATCTACAGTCACATTGTTTCTTATAAAACAGCTTTAAGTAAGACCTGACCTCTGATGTGGGGGTGAGTGTTGGAAAACCAGGACTTCAAAATAAAACTGTTTCACATCATTTAGAAAATAGACCAAATGGATTCAAAACAACCTTTTAGGTAAAACTTTTATGACAACAGTAAACTACGGGATTCACAAAGTGATGGATCACAAGTTTATATTAGAATGACTGAAGTGGACACATGACCCAGCTGATGTGAGTGGTCTGACCAAAGCCTGTGGGACGCTCTTACGTTTTGTGAATAGTCTGGAATAGCTGCTGGCCCTCCAGAGAAACCCCAGCACTGATTGCATAGGCTTGGGACAGCTTGTCTTCCTTTTCTGTCCGTGCTCGATTGGCAAGCTGTGGAAACATGAACAGAACAACAAAAACATTCTTCTTACATTGATTTTACTCGGACAGCCTTAAACCAGAAAAATGTTTTCAGCATTGACATAACTTATGTTTGGTATGCTTTTGTGTCGAGGACTCCAGGAGACACTGAACTCTGGACTGCAATTTGACTTTGACACCAGTTAACATTTACACATTACGTTAATTTACATCCGGTTAACCGGCAATTAACCGTTAAGGGGCATCAATAACCGGTTAAAGAAACTTTGGAAAACGTGCATCCCTAAGCAGTACATATCGGCCATCGGCTGACCGTGTCTATCGGCATCGACAATAAAAATGTTTATTGAGCATAAATGAAATGGAGACAGCATGTTTATTACATTAAAGGAAATTTTTCTTAAGATTATACAGGGAGTGCAGAATTATTAGGCAAATGAGTATTTTGTCCACATCATCCTCTTCATGCATGTTGTCTTACTCCAAGCTGTATAGGCTCAAAAGCCTACTACCAATTAAGCATATTAGGTGATGTGCATGTCTGTAATGAGAAGGGGTGTGGTCTAATGACATCAACACCCTATATCAGGTGTGCATAATTATTAGGCAACTTCCTTTACTTTGGCAAAATGGGTCAAAAGAAGGACTTGACAGGCTCAGAAAAGTCAAAAATAGTGAGATACCTTGCAGAGGGATGCAGCAGTCTTAAAATTGCAAAGCTTCTGAAGCGCGATCATCGAACAATCAAGCGTTTAATTCAAAATAGTCAACAGGGTCGCAAACAAACTAAACTACTTCCAAAAACATTCAGCTTTGATATTAATGAGTTGTTTGGGTTCATTGAGAACATGGTTGTTGTTCAATAATAAAATTATTCCTCAAAAATACAACTTGCCTAATAATTCTGCACTCCCTGTAGCAGTACTGTACAAATCAAGACATATGTTGAATTATGCAGCTTTACATATCATTTATTGTTCACTCCTACCACCTTACATTTCATAGTGTGTAGAGAAGTCTGGGGACTGACTAATCAAACGTTAGTTAGTTCAATAGTTCTTACAAAAACGTGCAATGTGTATTATCAACAAGGCAGATTATTTGGCACATACACATCTGTTGTATTTAAAATCACGTTATGAAATGTTATGATTTAGTACAACATAAAATAATGCAAATAATGTATAAAACTAAATTAAAGTTACTTCCACAAAGCAATCAAGTTTTTTTGTGTAGAAACTAAGTATGATTTTAGCGATATTAATAAATTTACTGTTCCTTTGGCAAAAAAAGAAGTCAAAAAGGAAATGTATATCTGTGGTGGGGGCTAAACTATAGAATGCCAGTGTAAATGTAAGAACTTGTGGTACATTTTTGTTGTTTAAAAGAATGGTTTTGAAGATCATTTTTGACGGTTTCAAGAGTTTATAAGTTGTGTTGTAAATGTAAGAGTATTGTGTGAACTTATTTGACTAAATGGTGTATATTTCTCTTATTCTTTTCTAATGTTGCTTAAATTGTAGATTTGTGTTAAAGGGGTAGATTCATTTGTTTAATTGGTTAAAAAGGACAGGCATAAATATAAGCATTTTTGCTTTGGCCTGAGCCTTTTTAGTCACGTTAAATGTAATGTAATGTTTTATTGAATATATTATTATGTTTTTTTTTTGACTGAATAAATTAAAATTCACATTAATTCAATTATAAAACAAATATCGGTCGACCTCTAGTCAGGACCCCTCTGTTGGTCCATAACCACACAGGAGGCCTTGAGATGATTTCCAATAAACAAAAACAACTGCTGAAGCTACATTTCTAGCGTAACTGTTAAAAAGACAACCAATTTGTCAAAAATGTATATAAGGGAATGGAGCTAAAGTGGTTTTCTTTTTGCCAATTTTATTTATTTTTAATCAGAGATGTCTGGGACCACCTGCGTTAGGCTTTTGTACTTTATTAGTTTGAAGCTGAAAAGCTTGGGAACAGTTGCCGTAGAAAATCACCTAAGTGCACCGTAAGATCATTTAGGTATGTTGTCACAGCTACAGGAACATGCAGCATTCCCTTTGCTATAGGCTAATCAAAACGATATTATAATCGGACCAATATAATAAAGCATTTCAAGAGAATTGTTAGAAATTTTTGTGATACTGTTAAAATGAGGCACCTTTCAAAGGAAAATAAACACATTTATCTGTGTAGTGGTTTTCTGAGGTCATACATCTGTGCCAGTCGCACCTTACAAACCCAGACCTCACCTTTATGTTAATGAGGGGCAGGATATGTGCCACTTTGTCCATTTAAATGCACCACAAACGTACAAGAGCCACGCTGTACGGGCTTTTGAAGTTAGAATAAATAAGGATCTTAGAACCGATGGATCCTGTTTGTGACACATCACAGCTGAACGTTGAGTTCAAATGTATCACAACATTGTTCTAATGGCAAAAGCAGCAGAAATTAGACAAACTCACCTTGCCAACATTCAGAGATGCTAGTGGAGGTGGAGTCTCAGTCCGGTCATTTATTATGTCCACCTCAGATACATAGGCTAAGTTGATCAGGATGACGTCGTTGAGGTTTGACTTACCACTGGAGGAAGCGCATTCTTTAAAGACACAAGTTAAGGCAGAAAATTTCACGACACTGACTTGAAGAACAAAATTACTATTGTTATCTGACCCCGAGGAACTCGAACACCATCTGCATTCTGATAGGAGCTGTGGCTGATAACCAGACAGTGAAAGGTGGTGCCAGTTACAGCGTGTGACTGCTGAGGGCAGTGCTGCCACCTACAGCAGCAACACATGAATGAAGGAATAGGAATTAGACAGCCTGCACACAGCCACAAATGTCTTCTTTCTCAGATAAATATTTGATTAAACTTGCAGCGTGTTGAATCTGTTTTTCTGTTGGAATGTTTCCAACAAATCACTCATCTTAAAATCTAATTCCACTGATAAAATACTCATTTATTTATTCAAACTGAGGGTTTTAATCTAAATGCACATTTAAATCCTGATGCATTTCACCCTGGAATGAACGGCTGTATGGCAAGCCGAAGTATTTAGGGGATGCCGATAGAAGCAAACAAACACGAGAACATATTGAAAGTGGAAACAGAAAAGCATCGACAGTTTCAACACATGATCCTTTCTTTCACTTTGGTTAACAAGAGGCAAGATTGTCAGGAAGTTTCTAAAACAAGTCTCTTTTTGGGGTTTATTCCACGATATTTTTGGCACACTGACCCACAATAGAGAAAATCTGGACATTTGACATGAACACCAAAAACACAATTAGCTTTTAACATCATGTTTGTAGTTTCACTGTACTGAATTTGTCAAAAAAATGCTGACAGATTCACTAAAACCATTTAAATGTCACTACCGGTCTAAATTATGAACATCCAAATGGGAACCTTTATGAGAAGTGTCAAAACATGTTTTAGTACATTTAGTACTTTATGATGAAATCAACAGATGGAACTGTATTGTATGTAAATATATTCACAAGTTACCTGGTGACGCTATAACCTGTGAAAATTACAGAAGGTCCAGTTTTGCCAGACCTCAGAGCAGAACTTGGGTCCATCTGTTCAAACATCCCCACTTCCAACAGATACTTAAAGATTTCAATCATCTTTTTATAGCTAGAAACATTTTGAAGCCTTTAATTTAGAAAAATCATACATCCAATTTTGCTTGGGGGAAATTATACATTAAATGAGTGACGTAGTTATGTTTTAGACACAGAACGCCCTCACTGTCAAACCCATTCATTCTTTTTTTAACCCTCTTGAGTCATATGCCAGTTCGGTCACGTAGACTGTCACTACACCAGAAGTTTAGCGTATTATTTTAATTTTAAATTAGCCTCTAATCAAATGACTACATTTTATCATACACCTATATCCTCCTCCCATGAAGGGATGGAAGCATGCTCACAGACAAGCTAAGGTTAGTTGTGATCAGCTCAGCATGCTAACCCAAATGAATCGTGATTAGCTGTAATTAATTTGTGTCACAAGAAAATAAAATCGTGATAAACTCGCAATAAAAACAGGCTAACACACCTTAGATGCGTACTAGCGTTAACAGAGCTTCCGAGCAGAATATGGGTGGAATGGTTTGTACGAAAGTTAGCATGTTAGCCGAGCTAGCAGCCCTTCCCCTGTAGCTCCGAAGGGTGTCGTAGAAAATAAAACGAACTCATTAAAGCAAGCGCTGGCATCTGTGGGTGAAGACTGTGTGAGATACACGTGCGGACACAAGTCAGAGCGAGATGCGCTGAATGTCAGTTAGCCTGCTAACTGTTGAGAGCACACAGCCATGATGCCAAATAGTGATCCATGTCGAGAGCTGCCAATACAATGAGTGGATTCAAAACACATGTACGTCCGAGCAGGCGCATTAAAACACCAAGAAAACGCAAATGATGACTTAATTTCACAAAAAAATGGACAACTACTTCGGAAAATGAAATAACTTAAAACGGACAAAGATGTGTAACTCAGCTCCCACCAATTACGCCTGCGCGGATCACTATTTGACATATTTTCGGTTACCCTACAGGCCTGTGCAGCCAGGCAGGCCAGCCAGCCATCCGTCCGCAGCGAGAAACAAACAAAGGATACTCAGGGTTAACATCTTGGACTGGTAATCAAAAGCGACCACTTCTCCTTGTAGCCGTTGGCCCAAGCAGGTGAGGCAGGAGACATGGCTCCCGACGCTGAAATACTCCCCCGGTCCAGGAGCCGCCATCTTCTCCGCCAGGAAACCGGAGCGCCTGCCTTACGTAAAGCAACGTGGTGGCGTAGGAAGACGAATCTGGGCGTGCCCTCGTACGCCGAGTTAAGGTCATTGACAAATATTACGCATACTTTACCTCAAATGTTCTTTGAATATATTACCCTTACCCCACACAGTACGTCAGGCGATTTACGGATCATACAGATTTAAAGAAAGAGGCGTTATTTAAAACAAAACACATCAGTCATTTAGAGCAAAGGTTTACAGCGAACACTGACTAATGCGTCACTTCCCTGATTTGACCATACCACAGCAGCAGTAAAACAACATCCTAAACACGCATCTAATTATGTCTGGTTTCAGGAATAATTCATAATGTATGTTAATTTGTTACAAAGTTTTGTTATGTAAATCATTTTTCTGGGACCTAGTATGTTAACTCCAACAAGTTCCCCCCCCCCCCAGCTCCCTCCCTTATTAACTATTTTATTATGTGGAAAATACAAAAGGAATCAAAACTGTATCTACATATATTCTTTTTTGTAAATGTGCAAAAATGTACTAATTACTTTCAATAAAAATGTGGATAAAAGGGAAAATGTGTTCATCAAACTGTTTTCAAATGTTGTTGGCACTGATTAATTATTCTAAGGATAAGCACAGCTTTGTTCCTCATAGTTAAGTTTTACCTCAAACTAATATTTCTAGTAATAAGGAAACATTTGATGATGAATAATAATTAAAGGGCAAGTCGCCCCCTACCAGAGTCTTACTCTACTCCCTCTTCCTGTTGCTGTTGCCTGGCAGACCAAGAGGGCGGAGCCGCTAACAAATACACACAGACACCCAGGTTCACAACATCATTGTTGTTTTGCCTTCAGACTTCTCTGTCTCCTGGGGAATCTTGCTAAGCAATTCCCCCCAGGACAACAGGGTGGGGCTTGGAGTAGATCCGCTGCTCCTCCTCATCGAGGTGAAGTGGCTCAGATATCTTGTTAGGATGCCTCCTGGACACCTCCCTGGTGAGGGTTTCCAGGCATGTTCAACTTGATAACTGATTTCTTGTCTGTCCAGGGAATTCTTTGGGATTCCCCCAGAGGAACTGGCCCAATTGTGACCCAACCCTGGATCAGCGGAGGAAAATGGATGGATTAGGGTAAGGGTCTTGCTTTATTAAATGTTAATGAATCTTTCGATGTTCAAATTTTCACCTCAAATAAATGTGATTAGATCTTCCCAGAAAGATTCATATAAATATCCTATTGTTGTCAACCTATCTTGACATGAGGCCATCTTTTTATTACTTCAATTGTTCTATTATGATTTTTTTATGCATAGTGTTATTTAAATACACAGTCAGGTTGTTTAATAAAATCCTTTCTTTTGTCTTAATAGGAGCCTCCGAATATGAAGAATTTAGTTGTAAAATCTTTAAATATTTCTTGAAATACCACATTCACTTCAGGTTTACATGAATGAATTATACATTTTTCTGGTCTTAAATTTTTAAAATAACATATTTTATCTTCTATCTACTTAGAACTAATATTGGAACACTGAGTGACATATCTCGACGTAACGCTCGGTTCCACGAAAGAAACCCAACGTAAAACAGCTCCTCCTGCTGGAAATAAACTAGTAGTGCAACATTTTCAGCATCTCATCCTAGATTTCATCATCCGACAATTAGCTACATGTTTTGAGGTTCAACTGCTTTTAGATACTTTAGAGGGGGTTCGTTAAAATGGAGTCCGTCTACACACAGGGCATTTGGGTCGCTGAAACTCTCCAGCAACAGACAAAGAGTCTCGAACAATGTTGGCTCGTGATCACTCACTTAGGAGACCCTAAAGCAGCCTTCCTGCTCGTCTTTCCATTCACGTATTTTCTAGATAAACGCGCTGGAGTGGCGGTGCTCTGGATCGCAGCTATATCGGAGTGGTTAAACCTGGTGTTTAAATGGTAAGGCTTAAAAAATCAATTGTCGTGGAAAGTTTCAACACGTTAGCGCATGCTTGTGTTAGTGCTATATGTGAATCAATTATATTTGTCTCAATATATAATTTATCAGCTTCTATTTTGAAATTTTTGGGATTTGTTAGACGTTGCGGCATCAGGGACAACACTGCAGTCCTATTGTTTATGTTGTCCGTGGTGAAACCAGGAAAAGCGGAACGTTTTAACACACATCGAGCAAAATTACAATTATTTGCCGTTCTTTTCAGGCAAAATTGTGTGGTTCGAAAAACAAACATAAATAATTTAAAATAAATTGTGAAATTATAAAATAACAAATTAAGGCAGAAGAAACTCGTTTCTTATTGTTGTTATTCACAAAGCTTTAGAAACCAATTCTTCCACTAGATAACGTGTATACTATTTACTGCGGACTCACCTGACCTTCAGCAGGTAATATAGGCTCAGTAGATTTAAATCCCTGTGTGTGTGTGTGTGTGTGTGTGTGTGTGTGTGTGTGTGTGTGTGTGTGTGTGTGTGTGTGTGTGTGTGTGTGTGTGTGTGTCTGTGTGCGTGCCTGCGTGCCTGCGTGCATGTGTTCTGCATTTCTGGGTAACTAGAGCTACTCAAGTAAGAGTAGCGGTACGTAATAATGTTACTCATGAAAACGTATATATTGATAAACTTCTAGAAATAGTAATGTAAAAAGAAATTTACTCAAGCAAATGTAACTGAGTAATGTAACCAGTTCCTTTCAATCTTAGTCACAAACATTTATACGTATCTTCTGATAATAGATTTAAAATGAAATAAGAATTTAATATATTTTCACGCAGAGTTCTTTAGGTTTTGAACATTGTAAAATGGAATTAATTGTATTTTTGAACAAGATCAACAGACGTATTTATAGTACTTTGTGTCCTTTTACTTTTCCAGGATGCTGTTTGGGGAAAGACCATTCTGGTGGATAGGTGAATCTCATTTATATGTCAGCATGCCACCCAGAATTCACCAGTTCCCATCCACCTGTGAAACCGGCCCAGGTGAGAGGTCCTTCAAGACAAACGAGACACATATGAGTCACAGATGGCACTCATGAAAAGTTGGCGTCTGTCTCTCAGGAAGTCCATCAGGACATGCAATGGTGACAGCAGCAGTCTGGTGGGTTGTTGCATCCTCGCTGGGGTCATTTCTGTACTCCCGTACTCGCAGGTAAATAAAGTAAAGCAAGTGTGTTGTTTTGGCTGTAAAACAGGCAGGAACTGTGGAATATTAGAGATGTTTTTAACAAGTATCCCTGGCCTGTTGCCTTCAGTGTGCTGATATCGTCTGCTCCCTTCCTGCTTTATGTGGCTCTGCTGGTTGCAGTTGGAACATCCAGGATCTTCATCCTTGCTCATTTTCCTCACCAGGTTATTGCTGGTTGCATTACAGGTCTGTGTGCATCGTCATCTTCATATAAGTGAGCACATAGATGGCTTTTGGCTGTGGTATTGTATTCCTTTCTGCCAAATAAACCCAAAAGCATTAACAGACACTTTGCAGATGTTGTTCTTTATAGTATGATTTCATTGAAGCTATTTGTGTCTGAGGAGTACAAAGTCAGTAATGTGTCTTTTACATCTGATTGCTGCCAGGGTTTATTTTGGGTATTGTCCTGAGTGGTAGAGTACCAGAAGGTCGCCCCCTGCTGTTCTACTTCAGCTTCAGCTTCAGCCTCCTGCTCAGTGCTCTGATGGTCAATGTGGGATTGCAGCAGATTGGAATTGACCTCTCTTGGTGAGTCTTGTTTTCTTTATAGTAATCTTCGTGCTTTATGAGAGCTATCCCGCTGAACAGACTTTTTAAAACAGGTCTATTGCTTTGGCTAAGAAGTGGTGCAGTCACGCAGAGTGGATCCGTCTGGACACAGCCCCGTTCTCCTCTTTGACTCGAGACTGTGGGGCTCTTCTGGGTCTGGGTCTGGCTGAGTACTGGAAGCCTAATGGCTGGTCCCTCCCGTGGGCTTCAAGAGCTTTGTCGCTGGCTTTTTCATCCATGGGACTTTACCACGTGAACCGTCTGCCTCTGCCCGTCCAACCACAAGGCCTCTTCTACGGCTTGTTCTTCATCAAATTCGTTCTGGTTCCTCAGATTGTCATGGTGTTTGTTCCTGGTTTGGTTCACTTATTCACACGCAAAAAGAAACAAGACTAGAGGTGAACTTCTAAAAGTTTCTTTTCCTTAAAGATTTCATCTGGGATCCAGAAGATACTCTGGTGGGTTTTAGTGTTTTTCATGTCCCAGAGGTTTTGCTGGTTCAGTCTATGGCCTAATGTTTTATTTTTGTACAAAAAGCTTTAGCTTTTGGGATTTTCCTTTCACACTCTGCCAATTTGCAGATGATGTACAAATATTGTGATAAAAACTAAGCAGCACTTTTATTCTCCAGCTTGTATCTATAGATTGTGGCAAATGTGGAGCTTTAATGTTTATCCAACAAAATAAGTACCCAGTGAGAGACTGTCTGATGTAAGAATCAAAGAAATGTGACACCAAACGTCAAACAAAAGCTCCAACCACGAATGAGACAAAAAAGAAAATAAAAAAGAGGAATCAACAGAGTGGGTAAGCTTCAATTTCCTGAAGGCATAGGTGATGTCCTCTTGGAGACTAAGTTTGTCTTCATAACCAGTGTCTCTGCTCTTGTTGGACGTGCTGCTCCAGGGTCCTCTGCCCACCCTGCTCCAGGTCAGATGTTTCAGATGGTCCAAGGTGGACTCTGGTGATTTGACAGCTTCTATTGGACATGTCCATGTTCTTCTTTCTTTGGTCTTTATTTTGGTTTGTAGCATTAATGTAAAATTTTTCCTTTTCAAACAAAACAACAATATTAACAACTTGAATTTAAACCAAAAAAGGAATAGGCAGAAGCAATGCTTATTTTAGCCTACCCTATTTTCCACCTAAGATACATAACCAATATACATTACTTTTATTTTCCCCAATATAAATAAACACAATGAAAATTCATTAATGTCTTAACATACTTTTCATACCCTGTAAATATGTGACACTTTACACCTGCTTTAAACTTTAGTAAAGAAGTACATTTCTTCAAATCATCATCTAACTCATTCCACAATTTCACACCAACAACGGAAACACATCTTGATTTCACCTTAGTTCTGGCTTTTACACATTCAAACATAAATACACCTCTGAGATTATAATGATCATCTCTTGGTTTGAAATAAACTTTTATGTAATTTGGGATATTATTAACTACTTTATGAAGAATCTAAGATTTTTTACTTTAATAATATCTCCTAATTTTAGCGTTTTAGTTTGACTAAATAGATTATGGGTTGGTTCGAGATATCCCAGTATATTAACTATTCTAATCACCTTTTTTTGTAATTTAAATACAGTCTCAACACACGTTTTACCTGCATTTCCCCAAACCTCTGCACAGTAAGACAAATAAGGCATAACTAAAGAGTAATAAATCAAAAACAAGGCTTTTTTATTTAGTACATCACTAGTTTTATAAAGTATAGCAATAGATTTAGACACTTGCCGTTTGATCTATTCAATATGTGGTTTCCAACTGAGTTTACTATCAATAATCACACCTAGGAATTTAGTTTCATATACTTGTTCAATTGGGACTCCATTTAAATACAGCTTAGCACCGTCATTGTCCCTGTTCCCTGAAAAATCATAAATTTGGTTTTATTTTCATTTAGTGATAGCTTGTTGTAATCAAACCATTTTTTAATTGAACCCAATTCGTTTTCAACCTCTTGCAATAATTTACTCATATCTTTTCCCATACATATGAAATTAGTATCATCTGCAAACATAATAAATTTTAACCGAGATGATACAGAAAAGATGTCGTTCAGGTATAGGTTGAATAATTTCGGTCCTAGCACCGAGCCTTGCGGTACACCACATATTACTCTTTCAAGCTGTGAATCTATATCATTAACATTTACACTACTGCTTAAATAACTTTCAAGCCATTGATTGGTTTTACCACGAAGACCATAGTATTCACATTTCTTGAGCAGGTATGTGTGATCAATTGCATCAAATGCCTTTCTCAAGTCAATTAAGACAGCCACTACATGAAGTTTTTGATCCACTGCTGTTGCAATCTGCTCTACCAATTCCATAACTGCTAATGAGGTTGAACGATTCTTCCTAAACCCATACTGATGGTCGTTTAAAAGATCAAACTTGTTGATAAATGCTTTAAATCTAATTACAAAAAGTTTCTCAAGTATCTTTGAAAACTGTGGCAGTAAAGTGATAGGTCTATAGTTACAAGCTAATGATTTATCACCACTTTTATAAATAGGAATAACTCTGGCTATTTTCATTTGTTCTGGGACTGTGCCACTTGAAAAGGATTTATTACAAATATAAGTAAAAGGTTTAATAATGCAATGGATAACCTCCTTGATGAGAGACATATCTATCCATACACACATCTTAGATGTATTTATGTTCCTGTTTGTGCACGAGTTCTTGGCAAAGGGAGAGTAAACGTAACTTTGGATGCTCTTGTGCTAAAACCACATCTATCACTGGTGGCTGTGGGAACAAGTTAAAGGTTTATGTCACGTCCAGAGTTCAGGTAAAAACAGAACCAGACTACACGCTTGGCATGTCGATTACCTTCATCCACGACAGGCTTTGAGAAATGGATGACGATAAATGTTTTAAGGCAACTTGGAGCCCCCGGAGAAAACCATACATAGTATGAATCAGGAACCTAGATTTGAAATATTCTAATGCGAGCTGGTTCATTGGGAGAGAACAATACTAAATCACTTCAACTAGTGACCCTCCTGCGGTGAAACTGCTAATTTGTCTGTCCCCTCGTGGTTGTCTGATGTGTGACTGACATTTGAAGTGTTTGAACTGATGCTGAGTGACGCAGAGTGAAGGGAACTGATTGAACTTGCCAAGGTTGGAGCATTTTTTTTAATTTAGTCATTTCTTTGGTTTGATCAAATTCTGAAGAGGCTGTGCCATCCTACTAACTTGGCAATTATTCATTTTGCTGACCGGAACATTTGTCCTTGGCGTGACCTCTTGTCGGGTTTTTGTCTGCTCAACAGAGACCTGTTCTTCATCAGTCACTCTTTCCAGTTCCAAAGTTGGTTTGGGGGAGAGTGACCTCATGGACCTTGGTTTCTTTATCTAAATTGAAGCTTTGATCCTCCACTTTCTTTTGTTGGATATATTTATTTTTTATTATTTTATCACGTTCCTCATATCTGCTGTGGCTCCTATCGCTGACCTGCTGATGTGGCTCCTATAGCTGAATAACCGAACATGTGTGGGGTTATTGTTTATTTTTGGAGTTTTGAGAGAAACAAGAGCTCCCAACATGAAAACCAAACACCAAAATCCTCTGGGATCTTGTAGCTGTTCATATAAACATGTCTTCTTACAAACTTGGAGAAGATTTTTCTAATCTCCCTGAAATGTTAGTTCTTAGGTCCACTCAGATTGATGAAAGTGGGTGGGATCTGCTTGGTCCTTAATGTTTGATGTTGGGATTTTGATGAGTCAGTGTTAAGATCTACAGATGTGCTGGTTTCCTCTGGGACATTACTCACAGACTCTTCCTGCTAGGACCTGGTTTGTTGATCCAATTCTTCTCGTGGATGGAAGTTGGATTCATCACAGTTTATATCCGCAGCTGATTTTATAATGAGACCAGCAGGTGAGGTGTTTGTTACTCATGATTTTTATCTTGAGAGGCGTTATATAAAAAAAGTTTCTTCTTCTATACATGTCCCAGGATCCAAGACCTTTCTCAGTGTGGTGAAAGCCTGACTGATAACACCTTTGCCTTCTTCTGAACTTGTTCCTTCCATGAGAGAGACATGTCATCGGTGTCCTCAGCTGTAAAACTGTGGGTTCTGGAAACCTATCTTTATTTCATGTGCTGCTGTCACATAAGAGCTGGTACCATCTTTGGGAAGATGCTCCTTGGTGATTAAAGTCTTATCAACTGGATCCTAATGAAGCACCCTCTTTAGAAGGTCTATGAATGCTTTTAGGTCTTCAACTTGACTGGAATCATCCATTTCTGTTGACACGTCTGATGGTGTCACAAACTGGACTGCTCTATTTAATCTCATTGTTGTCCATTCAAACTTTGAAAGTCCAGAATAGAGCCGACCCACTATGCTCCAGGGTAAAAAAGCATTCTGCTTCATTCCCCACATCTAGTAAACTTTTGTCAGGCTGACCAAGGAGCTTCTCCAGGACCCTGACGTTTTCATAACATCTATATATAGGAAATAAATGCCGGCCTAGAAACAAAAAATGCCAATGTGCAGCCGAAACCAAACATGTTCACACTTTTGTACTTTTGAACACCCAAGTGGAGCTCTGGTGCTCTGTAGCCCATAGGCTGAAACCATACTGATAACTGCTGTTTTACAAGCACGTCCAAAATTGCTTAACTTCGCTAGGGAATTACGATCAACAAGCATAATGTCTGATTTTTTTATCCGTGTGGGAGACGCTGATGCTTTTCAGTGCACTGAGAGCTACATGCATTCATTGTGCAATTGCTTGGATCTCCGCCACACTGGGAGGGACCACTCAAGCTTGCCAAGTAGATTGTACAAGCTCAAACAGTTCAAAGAGAAGGCAAAAGCTGCCTTTGAAGGTAAAACTTTTATAAAACCTGATCAAATTGTTTTTGTCAGGGTCAAGCGGATTAACTGCTTGTTTTTTGTCACAAGTTTTAGTGCAACTATGTGACTTGTTCCCACTTTTGTACATTTAGCAGCTTCTCCCAATGAGCCAGATCTCAGTACTTCTATCGTGTAACGGCCCCCTTTTCTAAATTGAAAGTTGGTTCTTCCACTGGATCATCTTCCACAGGCCAAACACTTTCTGATTTGATGTATTGGCTTTCTCCTATGATTGCATTTGCTGATGTCCCATAAGAGCTGTTTTCATAGTAGTTTATCAAAAGTGTCCAAATTAGATCAGGTGGTCTGGCATCGTTTAGAAAACGTGTGCAAAATTCTGGATTGGGTTATATTGAGTTTACTAGGGTGATGCTTTTTTATGGACCAAACAAAAAACAGAATAAAATTACTCTGTTTTGCACAAATCAGCAAAATAAACCGACATGCAGAGCGTGTTTCAGTTTATAACCATTTATAAATATGTTCTTTTTTTCCAGTACATAGGTTCGGCTGTACAGATTACAATCACTTATCATGAGATAAAAACACATTCTTTTTTATCGTTTTTAATGAAACTTTTTATCACAGCGATTCGAAAGCTCACATTTACAGACAAGAGAACTCTGCTCAGCAAGCAAATACATTAAAATAAAGTAAAATAAAATAACCTTTTTGTCTGGTGGGGTTGAAGGAAAATGGTAAGGATAGTTCAGGTATGTCAGTAGTCTCCTTATCCTTATCCCAACACCGTCACACACCAGTGACACTGCTATACAGGTTTGAAAGAATAGAACATGCATCAGACTATTTACAGCAAACTAATATACAAGTACAGCTGGAAACCAGACACTCCCACAACTGAAAAAGTCCAGTTTAAATGAAGTATGATACAGTTTCTACCTTCATTATTTTTTGTAACGTACAGCATCTCTCTGGTAGCAGGTGAAACAGGATAAACAGGAGGCAGCTGTTCGTAGATATTCTTCATCTGACATCCAAAATAAAACCGTTTCAGACAAATAGTCTATAACCTCTCCCACATTTACAATTAACTTGAATATTCTCATTATTTCACACCACTATGACACAAACTCCAAACATGGAGCTTTTGGATACTATAATACCAGTCTTTGTAGTTTATTATTTACTTTTGTTGCACTAATTTAGTCGTATTTTCTAGAGAGGTTGATTTGAACATATATATATACTGTGTGTGTGTGTGTGTGTGTGTGTGTATATATATATATATATATATATATATATATATATATATATATATATACACACACACACACACGTGTGTGTGCATTTATTACATGAAATATGACCGGCCTTTCAGAACAGACACACTCAACAATCTGAGCTGGACGGAGTGGAATATCTAAACCAATATTTACAGCTTGTGCTAGAAAGTTTTTACATCATCGCCGGTTTAAAAACATCAGTTTCACCTCATTCATCACCACATTGCAAATACAATAATGGTTTCTATGATAGTCTGGATCCAACTGATCAGAGAGCTGACCCGATACACACACACACATGCACACACATTTCTTCCAAATTCAGCGAACAACCAAGAAGATAAAGTGCACTCTTAGTTGAGAATGTAGCGGGTACCGTTGGTGCAGAAAGGGTCAAATTAAAAAGATGCAGAACAAAAAAAATGGGGGAGGAGAGGAGATGTTTACCAGGGAGGGATGCATTTGCTTGCTTGTAGCTGCTGAGTACTAACCCGTCACCAGCTCGAAGGAGGGACAGAGACAAACTTTGACACCTGCAACAACATTTTTTAGTCATCAATAATCCGTGTCACACAAAGGACATTTTTTATATCCTACAGGGACAATTTTATTGCCCTTAGGACCTTTTTTGGTGCCTTCGGCAAAACTAGAACCCCTTATGAATAATAATATTAGTTAACACTGTGTTGAGCAGTCGGTACTCTAACAAGCACAAAATGTTTTATCAGACACAAACTGAAAGGTTTAAAATGTAATTTTGAGCTCTAACATTTTAAACAATGTTCCAAAAGGTGAACGACATCTTTGCATTGTGAGGTTGTCCAATACTGACTTAGTGTCTTTGGATTTTAATAGAAATTGCGCAACATTTCTAACAGGAAAAAGATGTTTACGCTAGATCAGATTATTTTTAAAGTTGTTTTTATAGATATTTCTTGTAAAGGCATCTATCGATCACATTTTCTCTCCGTATATGTATACATAAATATATACATATAATTAAATATGTCATATAATGTAACTTAACCCATAGCTCCAATGAAAAATAATCTTATATTTGAACCTCAGCTATCTTGTAATGTTGCTGTTGGACAAATTGATTATAGGTTTTATAGGTAGGTTTATATTAAATAAAAAAATGTTGATACTTAAAAAAATCTGAGGAAGACTTTGGTCTACTTACATTTTGCATTTAATGAACATTTGTAATAAGAATGATTTTTCTTCAAACACATAAGCTATTTTTGCTTTGCAGATCTTAAGGTCAAAACAAAACAGGTCATTTGAAAACATTACAGATGAGAAATATAAATGAAAGTGTATGTATCTGATCGTGTTTAGCCATTTTAACAAAAATTAATCATTAAACAAAAATAATCTGCAGGTTAATGCAATTTCTTGCATTACAGGACAAGAAATCCTTCTATTTCTATGAATCAGAGGTAATTGTGTCAGTCAAAGTCTGCCCTTGTCCCTCATGCTTCACACTGGCTGATTTTCCATTTCCACATGACTAGCAGTGTGACACAGTAGCAGGGTTAACAGAATAAATGCAAACTATGCTTCCTTTTCTATGTACAATATATAACTTAATTATAAATATTGTCATTTTCTTTATGTGTTTGAGCCATTTGTATTTTCTGAGCAATGTACAGTATCGAACAGCTAATATTGTAGTTTTTTGAATAGCCTACGTAGCAACCTCGGTTAAGAGCACATTTTGAAAGAACAGAAGATGAAGAAAGAGTCCGTGATGAGTCTGATGAGTAGCGCACTCACTCATACTGTCCCATCTGCATGTAACTTTGTGCCACTTGACATTTTGGAAGTGCACTGGTCTTTGATTAAGAATGAGATCAGAAACCTTCTGTTGTTCAGCCTTTGTGCAGATTACGGAACAATCCCTTTCACCTAAGATCACGTCAAACAGCCTGAATGTCATTTGTGGTTTTCCTGACTGGAGTTGTCTCTTAAGAGTTCTTTTGGATGAGTTTGGTAATGCCACATACATAAATCACATGTTTGCCTCTTCAGATAAATACCGTTTCACTCTCTCTTCCACTAGCATGCCTAATCAAACTATCCAATCACAACTGGGCCATCACACATTCGACTCCACAAACGGTCTCTTTGGTTTGATGGGGGAGGTGGGGCCTTGGGTCCGGGAGTCACGTGACAGCTGGCGGTACATGTTGTCCTGGTAAGCTTGCGCAACAGGAAGAGTCCTTGCCACCTTTACATCAGGATAGGTGGGCACCTGGCTGACCCGCTCCAGAATATCACCACTGCCACGAGAGCCATTGGCCAGCTTGCCCAGCGAGGGGGTCTGGGTCTGGGAGTAATAGTCCTCCTCCAGCAGGTGTCCATTTTGAGCATTGTTGGTCTTGTTGTAGTAGGCGATATTACCGAGAGAGGCTGGGGGGCTGTAGGTGGAGCCTTGCTGGACCAGCTGGCCGGGCGAAGTTGGGCTGATAGCAGAATCCATAGATGTCATGGGCCTGGGCCGCGTTGGTTGATGTAGGTACTGCTGAGTCCGAGCTGTCTTGTCTATGATCCCCATGAAAGGCGTGTTCCTAGAGCGGGTTGTCTCCCCCTGATACAGTCCTCCACCGCTCTGGGAGGGGGAGATTGGTGAGATGTCATCACAGGTGCGCTCATATGTGGCTTGCAGCGGGATCTCCATCTGCTGAATGGATGAGGAAGGCCTAAAACCTGGAGCTAGATTGGAAGTGGATCCAGTTGAGATGTTGTTGCTGGAGGGGGAGAATCGCAGGCCTACGCTCTGAGAATGGATGAGAGGCCTGGGGGTGGGTACATGCTGTTTCAGCTCGGTGGTATTAGCACTCACGGGGCGTCTCACCATATGTGGGATCTCAGGAGAGCCCAGCTGGCAGGGAGGCATGGCGTTGGCACGCTCCAGTACGTGTTCAGAAACTGGGTAGTAGGCGGCTGACTGACTGCGGCTTATCTGAGGTGTCTGGCTGTAACGAATGCCTCCCGGACCCCCGCTGCTGGCGCGGTAGGCAGAGGAGGGGCGCTGGGGTAGCTCATCTTTCAACAGGTTCGACTCCATAACCCCTCCTCGGCCACCGTGCTGACAGAGGGCCCCAGAGCTGAGGCTGGCCTGAACCTGGGACATAGATCGCCCGTCCAGGGACGGCTGGTACACTAAGCGGCTCTCCACGTCTATTGACCCCCCCTGAAAGCGACCACCGATGGAGTGGCTCATCTGGCTGCCAAAGCTACTGTTGCCCATGACATTGCTAGGCTGGTTTGTGCGGACTATTTGGGCTATAGAAGGTTGGAGACGAAGACCTTGGGCTTGGTGGTGCTGGGAAGATAAAGAAGGCTGTGAGTTCAGCTGGAATGAACGCTGGCTGCTCATCTTAGAAAGCGGAGATTTGGGTCGGCCAGGGAGCTGCTCCGTCTGGTAGCGCACAGGTGATCCTGACTGGGATCGGTACAAACACACACTTTCTAACGGTGGACTGGATCTGTACTGAGCAGCACGACGTAACGGTGAAGGCGGTGGGCTCTGGTGGTCCATCCCCTGACCCCCGGTGCCCATGGGTGGGGGGCTGAAGCGGTAGGATGGCTGGTGCACTGGGGAGGTGTGAGGTGGACTATGGCGATAGTGGGAGTTTTGATGAGTTGGAGAAAGAGATGGTGATGTGGGCTGATACGAGCCCCGAGTTGGGGAGGACATGGAGGAGGAGGTAGGGAGGTATTCGTAGGGCTGTCCCATGGGCGAACCCCCTGCTAAATAAATCTGATCTGGGTGTGTGGGGGAGAGAGGAGGGGACTGAATTATCGGAAGACTGGATGGATTGGTGAGAGAGTCTGGAGGCGGCAGAGCCATCGACATGGCCTCCAGCTCCTGCTCCAGGTAGTCCTCGTCCTCAAACAGATCCTGGACAGGCTCCATGTCCTCTAGACGAGGCTCGGGGGGAGGAGGGAGAGGCATGGACAACGAAAGGGACTCCTCCTCTTCTGCGGGAGGTGTAGGAGGAGGTGAGGGTGGAGGCTCCAGCTCCAGGTCCTGCTGCTGGTGCTCATCCTGGTTGAGCTGATGACATTCCTCCTCCACCCTCTGGAGCAGCCGCTGGATTTCTCTGTTGTTGGGGCAAAGCTGCATGGCTTCATTCAGGTCCTCTAAGGCTTCAGGGAATTGTCTGGAAATTGGAAAATTGTGTTATTTTCAGGGAAAATGTTGGGAAACACATGCAGATTGTGATGATTTAATAAATTTACAAAGCTGAGGAGGAGTAGGAAGTAGGATCTTCAGAGGTAAAAGGGAGGTACCTGCTGCTACGTTTGGCGCGTGCCCTGGCATAATACGCCTCATATGATTTTGGTTTTAGTTCCAGAGCCTTGGTAGCAAATTCCTCAGCCATCCCAAAGTCCTACACAGCCAAATGCATGGTTTACATCAACATGACAACTTAAACGTAAAATACAGCCTCAGAAGGTAAAGCAGAATGAGGTATTTTGTTACTTGCCAATATCTTCATGACTTACATTCATTTTCCTCCGACATCGAGACAAGTTGAGAAAAAGTGACACTTTGAGTTCCCTGAACGTCTTGAGGTCCTCGCTAAAGCCTTCGCGTGGAAACTTTTTGAGAGCATACTGGTAACGCTGTGCAGCCTCCTTCACCTTTCCCTTCTGTTGGAGAAAAATCACACAAAACAAATTCAGGTTTTCTCTTTTATTCTCTGCAAAAGAAGTTCAACCTGAGATGTTAATAAAAACCGAGAGCATTGCTGAAAGCTGCAGTCCAGAGTTTCCCCGTCAGGAATTAGGTATGATTGTTTTAGAAATCCATAAAAGTGGTAGTCTGACCTTATACACTGATGTAGAGGAGGCAACGTGTCAAATGTTGCTGCTAAGCCTGCCACCCCGTCCCATAGAACCCCATTCAATTTGAATTGAGGGCCGCTCGGCATTAGCAATAGCGTAGTACATCTGCTTAAGTACAGATGTCAATCACAGAGCTACCTAGACTGACAGAGTTTTGCGACATTTCCTATGAATAAGTCTGTAAAAAAAGATAAGTTATAAAATGCATATATAAACTGGGTAGTAGGCGGCTGACATACACACACACACACACACACACACACACACACACACACACACACACACACACACACACACACACATATATATATATAAATAAATATATATATATAAATATATATATATATATATATATATTTACACATAGTTGTATATTTACATATATATATGGTTGTATATATACACATATATATATATGGCTATACACACACACACACGCGCGCACACGCACACACACACACACACACGCACACACACACACACACACACACACACACACACACACACACACACACACACACACACATAAATGTACATTTCTGTTTTAATTTTCACATAGAATGCATGTCTCTACATGTACGTGCCTGTATGTTGTGTACATAGTACAGGTATATGGACGATTGTATACTTGAGTATATGTAAATGTGTATTTATGTTTATGTGTGTATATTTATAGAAATTCTAATCAGTGGAAACTAAGGAGTGGTTTAGGGCAGGATATCATTAGCTTATTTTAATTCGTCTTGCTCCCTCTCAAACAAGATTACTAGCTTTTTAAATTTTTGTGAGGGATTATTTTATAACCGGAAAAAAAAACTACAAATACAAACAGAACCTGAATGAGTGTCGACTAGATTTCAAGTGATGTAAACATATTTATGTCAGAGGATTTGCAGCTTTGAGAGGTTAAGACCTTATAGTGAGGCGTGGAGCTAAAAGGTCAAACATTTTAGATTTATTTTCTATAAGAAAATGTGGAGATAAAAAGAAAGTTTAATTAACTAATCTGATTATGTCCTGTTTTTATAGAAAGAGAAGCTAAAAAGATAGACTGCAGACTAACAACTAGAAAATGGTTAATAGATTATTATCTGTTTCAGTATTGTGCAAAAAAATAATTATTATTTAAGCAATTTTTATATTTCCTCTGATTTATTTAATTTACCAACTTAATTTGATGTGGTTACATGACAATTTTGTCAAGTTTAAGGATCATTTAAGACAGATTTCATCCAACTTCCATTCTATTGTAGTGTAATTACAAGCTGTCACTCAGCTATTTGACTTTTATGAACAAGATAATCTATTATTAAAGTGATTATAATGGGATGTGTGGAGGTTTGGATGTTCTTTTTATCTGAGGAAGTTATAGGCTGTGAATCAGATGAGGAACAAAAGCAAGATTTTCTAAGTAAATGTTTGTGTTAACATGACTTGAGTCAGAGAGGAAGGAGCGTGTTTTACTGTTACTAGCGATAAAATATCTTTAAAGGAACTGTATCATGCCATTTTACACCTTCCAGAGAAATGGTAGGCATAATAAATATTACCGTTGGCACTATTGAAATGTCATATTTTATTGAATATAAGTTATTTTTGTGGGCCATTCCTTCAACACAGAAATGAGGCGCTTGCATACAACGAATCCCTGGTTCCTCTGTGTGAGTTACACAATAATACACCGTTGCAGAACTGGAGACGGCATTTTCACACCATTATTTCCCAATCACAGAATGCCCTTTCTCAGGCAAAAATCCATTTTTGGGTTCTAGGCTTTATTTAAAGTGCAGACTAGATAAGAAAGAAATTACTTCTTCATATCTGTGGAGATTGTACAGCCCTGCTAGCTACACGGAGAGACTGGGTGTGAGTGTTTACAGTCCAGGGGAGTACGGATCCTGACTGGAGACTTCCTGCTGGGGGTGGAGCAATTTGTGATGACAGCAGCAGCAACTGTATCCAGCCTATTGCAATAGCTTAGCAAACATTTGCAGAGCTGAAGGGAAGGAGCAGCTGAGACAGGAAAACGCATCTGTGAAGCCATAAAACGCTTTGGACAGCTGAGACAGGAAGCCAAAAACTGCTTTGGGGTGTTTTTTATTTTTTAGGAAATAACAATAAAACATGGTCAGAAGCTCCAAAAGCGATATAGGACCCTTTAAAGATACACAGAATGAAAAGACCCTGTGCACGATAGCAAACGCTAGTTCTGGTTAATGAACTCCGGAGAGCGGTGGTACTTCCTGTCCCCTTTACAGTGATGTCAACATGGATGGTGCATGCAGTGAACTGTAATTTTCCAGATCCTTTGGGAATTTGCTGAAAATATCAGTCGATGACATTCATCCTATTGTCGACACGTTTTCATCTGCTCCACAAAGCAAACGAGAAAAGGGATTCAAATTGGGCATATCCCAGTATGTGCACAACTATGAAGTGAGTACACAACCCAACTATGGTAACTAGTGCAAACTTGACTAAAAGCAGCATGACAAACACGTTTTATTATTATTAAATGGTAACAACAGGGTTTTTTTATTTTTTGCCACCTGGACCTTATTCTTACTATGCAATAGGTTCATTTACTCACCCGGAAATTTTGGTGCAATTTGGAGTCCGAGAAATATTCTTTGATCGGCATAGGTCCATAATGAGAGTTGTGGCAGCAGTGCAGCCTCTAAATAAGGCATTATTTGCCACTAACGTCCTTCATTTCGCCAATGATTTGGTATGAATCACTAGCACTATTCCCATTAGTTCGGAGCGTCTAGGATGTGCTTTGTTGTTATTATCTGAGGTCC